CAATTTACTCTTTCTCTTTAGATCTTTCTAATGGTGGAAGGGCGCCTGGATGGCTCAGTTGGTTAAGCGACTGCCTTCGGCTCAGGTCATGATCCTGGAGTCCCGGGATCCAGTCCCGCATCGGGCTCCCTGCTCAGCGGGGAGTCTGCTTCTCCCTCTGACCCTCCCCCCATCTCATGTGCTTTCTCTCTCTCTCATTGTCTCTCTCTCTCTCAAATAAATAAAATCTTTAACAAAAAATAACAGTGATTTTAAACCTTTATTCTTTTGTAATGTAATTATTTAATGCTATAAATATGCCCCGCTTTAGGTGGATCCCACAAATTCTGAAAGGTTATGTTTTGATGTTAAGTTCAAACCATTTTCTGATTTCCCATATATATTTTGTTCCATGTGATTTTAGAAGTGTGATGTTTATTATTCAAATAGTTGCAATTTTTCCAAAGACCTATTTCTTACCGATTTCTAATTTTTAATTCAAGTATGGTCAGAGACCACTTATGTGATTTCACTGTATTTCTGCCTCCCTCCTTTCTTGGGAGCCCAATTATATGTGTATTAGGCTGCTTGATCTTGTCCACTCTCTCTTCATTTATGTTCAGTCCTTTTCCTTCATTTCTAAACAACAGTTACTCAGAGAAGAGAGTTGAAATCCCCACTTAAAATTGTGGATTTGTCTACTTCTTGTTTCAGGTTTTGCTTCATGTGTTTAGATATATACACGTTTAGGATTATTATGTTATTCTCGGTATTTTGACCCTGTTGTCATGGCGTAGGGTCTCTCGTTATCCCTGGTAATATTTCTTGTCCTGAGGTCTATTTTTTCTGTAATACCATCGCAAACATCACTAGTTTTCTTCACTACTATTTGTATGGTGTACCTTTATTCCGCCTTTTACCCTGTCTTCATACTTAAATAGGCTCCTTATAGATAACATATGGTAGAGTCTTGCCTTTTTACTAAGACAATCTCTGACTTATATTTGGACTGTGGAGACCATTTATACTTAATGTAATTTTAATATTGTTGGGTTTAAATCTACTGTCTTGCTCCTTGTTTCCTAATCATCTCATTTCTTCCTTGTTCTTCTTTCTCATTTTTCTGCCTCATTTTGGATTGAGAATTTTTGTATGATTCCATTTTTATTTCCATTGATTCATTAAGCCAACTCTTTGTTTTATTTTTTATAGTTTATTTGGGTTTTAAACTATGTATTTCTTAACTTGTCAAGTGGTATCAGCCCACCTTCCATATTGTGTGAGAAACTTTCAGCAGCATCTTCTCTTCCCCTGTCCTGGTCTTCGTGATACTCTTTTTTTTTTAAATAAGATTTTATTTATTTATTAGCATAAGTACGGGGAAGGGCAAGCAGGGGCAGAGAGAGAGAAGCAGGCTCCCCACTGGGCAGAGAGCCAGATGCAGGGCTTGATCCCAGGACCCTGGGATCATGACCTGAGCCGAAGGCAGCCACCCAAGTGCCCCTCTCTGTGATATTCTTGTCCTACAGTTTACCATACATATTATTACTGCAATTCGTTATTTTCTAATGAGAAGTCATTTATCTCTTGAAGAGTTTAAAAGTGAGGGAACGTGTGTGTGTGTGTGTGTGTGTATGTATGTATGTATACCCACGTGTGGTTTTCAGCACTCTTCATTTCTTTGTAGATTCACATTTTTATACGGTCATTGGGTTTAGAATTTTAGATTGATTTAAAAAATTTTTTATTTTAGGTTGATACTTTCTGTTGATACTTTTGTTCCGTTGCTTCCAGGTCTGTTGTCATTCTTACTGTTGTTCATTTGTGCGTTAATTTCTCCCCCTCTCTGGCTCCTTTTAAGAGTTTCTCTTTTCAGTGGTTTTCAACAATTTTGTCATGGATGCTGTGCCTTGGTGGTATTTTTTTTACGTTTATTCTGCTTAGAGTCAGTTGAGCTTTTTGAATCTGGACTTACACTTTTAATCCAGTTTGGGAAAATTGACATTTTTTCACACTTTTTTTTCTGCCTCACCCCCTTTTCCTGCGACTCCAGTTATATGTATATGAAATTGTCTGACAGGGTCCATGCTCTGTTCATTATCTTCAGCCTTTTACCCTTTTTGTTTTCCATGTTGGGTAGTTCTCTACTGATTTTTTCTTCTGTGGCATCTGATCTTTTACCCCATACGGTGTGTTGTTTCCCTAGACAATTTCTTTTTATATCTACAAATTCCACTTGAGTTGGTTAGTTTTAGTTTTGGGTTTTTCACATCTTCCATTTCCTTCTTGATGGTATTCATGTTTCCCTTCATGTCTTCGAGCACATTTTATGGGTATTTTTATAACCGTTGCTGTAAGCTCCTTACTGGATAATTCCATCATCTCTGTCCTTTGTGGCTCTGTTTCTGTTGATTGGTTTTTCTCCTGGTTGATAGGTCATATTTTCCTACCATTTGGGATGCCTGATAACTTTTTTATTGCATAATTGACATTGTGAATTTTTATATTGTTAGGTGCTAGATTTTGAAAAAACATTGAACTTTGTTCTGGTTTACAGTTTAGTTATATAGGACCATGTCATACTTGGGAGGCTTACTCTTAAGATGTATTACGGCAGAGGGGGCTTCCTGAGTGGCTCAGTCAGTTAAGCCTCTGCCTTTGGCTCAGGTCATGATCCCAGGGTCCTGGGAGTTGGGCCCCGCCTTGGGCTCCCCGCTCAGCGGGGAGTCTGCTACTCCCTCTCCCTCTGCTCCCCCCCCCACTCGTTCCCTCTCTCTCTCAAATAAATAAATCTTAAAAAAAAAAAAAAGTATTAGGGCAGGTCTAGTGCAGCCCTTAATCTGTGGTTAATTTTGCCCCATAGTGAGGGGACCCTACCCAGTTCCTTATGCATCGTGGCCTCTCTTTTCTGGGTGAGGGAATACAAATTATTTCCTCCCCAACCCCTCACCCTCCACTTGCTGCTTTCTAGTGATTCTTTACCCAGTCTTGTGGAATTTGACCCTGTGCTTGGGCAGGTGAGTATTCAGCAGACTTCAGGGAACCCTACTGAAGGTCTCCAGAGCTCTTTTCTTTACGTAACTCCTTCCTCTCTGGTACTTTCCCTGTAAATGCTAGCTCCCTTTGGCCTCCCTAAATATTGGCTTCTGCCTCTTCAAATCACCAAGACCCCTGGGCTGGGTTCCCCTTCCCTGTCCCTGCGCTGCAACCTGCAAACCGCTTTCGGACCAGCTGGGTCAGTCATATTACTTACTGCATTTGTCCCCCTTCTTCTGGGATCAGACCTGGAGTTACCCGTCCGAAAGCAGTGGAATCATGATTCGCAATTGTTTCCAGCAGGAGAGCAGTTCCCGTGGCAGGTCCTGCTTCATGGGTGGAAGGGAAGTAAAGTCCCTACCCCTTCCCATCTATTTTTGATGCATGGATTTGACTTGTAAGTCTAAAATACAAGTATAAATAATACGTATAAAATTGTGATGAGATCTTTTCATCATGCATTTTCCTGTGTTATTACAGTCTATGCGACCACATTTCCTAGTGATTGTAGTATGCTCCTTGGAGTGGATGTCCTGGAGTTTCTTTTGTTGTTGTTGTTTTCGCATTGTTTTGGCACGGGGGATGTTGTTTTTGTTTTTCCCTGGAGTTTCTTAATTAGCCTTGCAGGGCTGAACATGTAGATACTAGGGAAGCCTCTTTTGCTTTGAAAATTGTGGCTTGGCCTCCAAGGCCTGATGCCTTGAACTGAGAAGAATGGAAAATGCTGGCTTCTTGAGCAGGGATCACTGTGGCCCATTCATCTCCTTGCATTTGTGATTCTACCTGTAAGATGATGTCTCAGGGAAGTAAACCCACAACAACAACAAAAGCAGGGAGAAACGGTAGTAGAATATTAGGCAAGTAGGGTCATAGCAGAACAGTAATTTTGGAAACAGCCCAGAAACCGCACTCGGTGTGTGGTTCAGCAATCCATGGTGGATCATTCGATGGGAGACTGTATGGTCATTTATAATGACAAGCATGGTACTCAGACCATTTCTACTCAAATGATTCTATAAAAATGGCAAAGAAGTAGCGGTGAAGGAGAATAAGCATGTGCCATTTTATCTGTCTATCTATTTGAGAGAGAGACAGTGTGGGCTGGGGGTGGGGGTGGGCAGAGGGAGAGAGAGAATCTTAAGCAGGCTCCACGCCCAGCACAGAGCCTGACACAGGGCTCCATCCTACAACCCTGAGATCATGACATGAGCCAGAATCAAGAGTCTGATGCTCAAGCTCAACTGACTGAGCCACCCAGGTGCCCGGCATGTACCATTTTGATACAGTTGCATATGTGCAAGTAAACAAAGGTTAGGGAAACGCATGGAGCAGGCATTAGGAATCAGGGGACCTCGGATGTCTGTCCCAGCATTGCTTTTGGGTTTTTTTGTGTGATTCCGGGCGAATTGTTTCCTGTATCTGGGCTTCAGTTTCCACTTCTGACACCGAGGGAGGTTGAGAACTTAGTATCACATAGGGCTTTGGTTTGGTTTTGTTCCTTTAATTCAATTTTTAGTAAATAAGCTGAAAAGATGAGAAAAGCACACTTGAGAGAAGTGAAGAATGTGAGGTCCCTTTGGCCACTTGCGGTACCTGGCATCCCTCGCCCATTTCTGAGCCAGAACATGGGGTTGTGTGTGGGTGTGAGGCCCCCCAGATCAACGCGGGTCAGCGGTTAGCGGTTCCCACCCACTGAGCGCTTACTCTGCACCTGGCCCCGTGCTCCAGTCTTGCCCTGCATTTTCTCTTGTTGGTCCTTCCAGCACGTGTGTCCCATCCACGTGCTCAATCTTCATTTCTTCAAGTGACGGAATTGAGGCTTTGCAAGCATCGGATGGCTGTCTGAGCAGGAGCCAGGGTTTGGACCCAGGCCTGAGTCCTGGAAGCCTCGTTTGGACTTCACGCGCCATGCTGTCGTTCCCATCCTGTGAGTTGGCAGGCCTCTTGCACCTCAGGGTCACACACTGTCCCCTTTGTGCCCACAGCGGACAACGAGAACAACATCGCCTCCAACCAGTCCCGATCGCCGCCTGCTGTTGTGGAAGAGAAATGGAAACCCCAAGCCCAGAGGAACAGTGCCAACAACAGTAGGTCTCTCCCAGGCCAGAGGTCCGTCCCGTGCACCACTAGCCCCAGGTCCGGCCACTCCCCCCCCCCCATCCCGCCACCTGTGCCTCTCATGGTGATGCAAGACTGCGTCCGAAGCTCTTACACACCCAAGACCTTGTCTGTGGGAGTTGTGACCTCACTGGACAGGCAGAAGGAAGCCCGGGGAGAGGAGGGGATCTTTTTGTGCTCAGAAAGCACATACTTAGTGATAGAGTTGGAACTGGAATCCACTCTCCACACTTTCTGTTGGCTGATCTTTCCTGATGCTGTGGCCTCATTTATTTTATTCACTAGAGATGCCTTTCTTAGAGGCAATTCCTATGTTGAGAAGAAGGTAGACCAGTTGGCTTCAGAAGGCTAGGTGAATGACACGTGCAAGTATGTTGCATACGTCCCACTGTATTCTCTTCCCGTGCTCACAGCAGGCATTACTCATCAACCCTAGAACGTTATTCCGGTGAGACTCACATGTTCAAGACCACCAGCACCACCAGTTTGTGTGCGAGATGAAACCTCATAGTTCCCAATACTAGGTGCTTATAGAGTAGTTGGCTGGCTGCCAGACGAAGGAACCTCAGATGCCAGGTTTAATGACATCTCTCTTTGTGTCCTCCACCAGCCATGACCAGTGGTTTAACACCCAACAGCATGATCCCCGAGAAGGAGCGGCAGAATATCGCAGAGCGGCTGCTGAGGGTCATGTGCGCCGACCTGGGCGCGCTGAGCGTGGTGAGTGGGAAGGAGTTCCTGAAACTGGCCCAGACGCTGGTGGACAGCGGCGCCCGCTACGGGGCCTTCTCCGTCACGGAGATCCTGGGCAACTTCAACACACTGGCGCTGAAGCACCTGCCGCGCATGTACAACCAGGTGAAGGTAAAGGTGACGTGTGCCTTGGGCAGCAACGCCTGTCTGGGTATCGGTGTCACCTGCCACTCGCAGAGCGTCGGCCCCGACTCGTGCTACATCCTCACGGCCTACCAAGCCGAGGGCAACCACATCAAGAGCTACGTGCTGGGCGTGAAGGGTGCGGACATCCGCGACAGCGGCGACCTGGTGCACCACTGGGTGCAGAACGTGCTGTCGGAGTTCGTGATGTCGGAGATCAGGACCGTGTACGTGACGGACTGCCGGGTGAGCGCGTCGGCCTTCTCCAAGGCCGGCATGTGCCTTCGCTGCTCAGCCTGTGCCTTGAACTCGGTGGTGCAGAGCGTGCTGAGCAAGCGGACGCTGCAGGCCCGCAGCATGCACGAGGTCATCGAGCTGCTCAACGTGTGTGAGGACCTGGCGGGCTCCACGGGCCTGGCCAAGGAGACCTTCGGCTCGCTGGAGGAGACCTCGCCGCCGCCCTGCTGGAACTCGGTCACGGACTCGCTGCTGCTGGTGCACGAGCGCTACGAGCAGATCTGTGAGTTCTACAGCCGCGCCAAGAAGATGAACCTCATCCAGAGCCTCAACAAGCACCTGCTCAGCAATCTGGCGGCCATCCTGACGCCCGTCAAGCAGGCGGTCATTGAGCTGAGCAATGAGAGCCAGCCCACCCTGCAGCTGGTGCTGCCTACCTACGTCAGGCTGGAGAAGCTGTTCACGGCCAAGGCCAACGACGCGGGCACCGTCAGCAAGCTGTGCCACCTTTTCCTGGAGGCCCTCAAGGAGAACTTCAAGGTGCACCCGGCACATAAGGTGGCCATGATCCTGGACCCGCAGCAGAAGCTGCGGCCCGTGCCGCCCTACCAGCACGAGGAGATCATCGGCAAGGTGTGTGAGCTCATCAACGAGGTGAAGGAGTCCTGGACCGAGGAGGCTGACTTCGAGCCCGCCGCCAAGAAGCCCCGCTCCGCCACGGGCGAGCACCCCGCAGCTCAGGAAGACGATCGGCTCGGGAAGAACGAAGTGTACGATTACCTGCAGGAGCCCCTCTTCCAGGCCACCCCTGATCTCTTCCAGTACTGGTCGTGCGTTACCCAAAAGCACACGAAACTCGCCAAGCTGGCCTTCTGGCTGCTCGCGGTTCCGGCCGTGGGGGCCAGGAGCGGGTGTGTAAATATGTGTGAGCAAGCCCTTCTGATCAAAAGGAGGCGGCTGCTCAGTCCAGAAGATATGAACAAACTCATGTTTCTGAAATCCAACATGCTTTAAGACTTCGGAACGGTAAGAAGGAAGAAAAGAAAGAGAAAGAGAAGAGAAACATTAGGAAAAAAAAAAACCACACACACACACACAACACTGTCGCAAACAAAGAAAAAGGAATTTAAGTTCTAAACACTGTGGACCTCATTATAAATGCCCCCCCTGGAAACTTAAGTGCTTTTTCAGTGTGTGTGTGCATGTGGCGTGCGGACGCGTCCAGGCGCGTGTGCCGTGGGTGTGCGGTGCGGGGGCCCTGTGCCCGCCCGCGTGGCCCCCGCAGCCTCGCGCACGCATGCACACACACACACAGCCCTGGTGCGTGCGCACACGCCAGCTCGTGGGCGCCTGTGCATTGAACTGGGTGTGTCAGGAAAGCTGAGTGGGGAAGAGGGAAGACACTTCACCTCCTTTTCTCAGTGAGGGGGCTTAAAAGACTCCGTTTTCAGGTGTGCAGATTGGTAGAAAGCTGATGTAAAACGTTCAGGCAGCTGAGATCTGAAGTGACTTGATGCTCTCTGTCCTTGACCCCGTGGCCACCCCCCCCTTCTGCCCCCTCCATCCCCCTCCCCCAAGCCCTCCTGACCCTCCCACACCCACCCTCTCCCCGGCTGCTCTGCCATGGATTCTCCAAACTGCATCAGATGGACCGTGTCTGCACTGGACTTTGTTCTCGTTCACCTTCAGGGCATTGAGCTGTTGCCTCCGAGATACCCTTGGGGGGGTCCCGAGGCAGCCGCCTTAGAAACACACCTATCTATCTCCCCAGATCAGGAAAGGAGACTTTAAGAATATAAAGCTGACTTTTGCTTTTTAATATAAGATAGAAGAAAAAAAAGACATTTTTTAAAGAAGTATAGATACTGTCTCCACTCCTTAATTTTTTTTCCTAACATTTTAGCAGTTTTTACCTTTTTTTTTTTTTCCTTCCAAATTTGATTTTAGACTCTGCTAGGAGGCACTGAATGTCTATAACTTATGTTTTGGAGGTTTTGTTTTTTGTTTTTTTCCAGTTGCCTTTTTTTTTTTTTTTTTTTTTTTGTAAACTAGCTCATCTCAGTGGTATCTTGAGTATCCTAAGGTTTTTATTAGCCCGCCCTGTACAGTCCCATGTTCGTGTATTCGAACAGCCAAGACCACAAACTTGGCTTTGCTGTTTGGAAACCAGGAGTGGGGTTGGAGACCAGGTTTCACAGATGTGGGTTCGGCGGAAGCCATAGGGAAGCATGTGGCTTAGGAGTCCTGAATGTGCGTGGAAGACGCGCCCTCCGGGTTCGCTGTGTCTGGCACCGGGAGTGTCTCACTTCTCTACCCAGAGTGCATTACACTACTCGCCACGTCACTGACACGTGCAGCTCAGCGGGGACTCCCGAGTCCACCCGTGTTCACGTCCGTCGCACCTCAGCCCCACGGCCCCTCCCCCCTCCCCGGGGCCCCAGGGGTTCCGCTGGTGCCATTGCCCATGGCCCTGGGGGTCCCCACGTGAGCCTCGGGCCTCCTTCCAGGACGGCAGTTGAGCGTGGTGCCTTGGGGGCCAAATGGTGGCTGTCTTGAGGGTGGAGTGGCATCAGGCCACATTTAACTTGAGGCCGTGAAAACTCGCTTTTCTCTCCTGAGCAGCTTAGGTTCCACATGCTCAGTCCAAATGCCAAGAGCATGGCCCCTTTGCCCCCGCAAGAGGTGGTTCTGTCAGGGTCAGCACTCCACCCCCACTCCCACCCCCATGAGTCATGTGCTGGTGGCCTCCTGGCCCCTCGGTGGCCGTGGCTGTGGGATAGATGGCTACACTGAGGGCTTCAGGCTAAGAATGACCGCCATCATGGAGGGCTCTTTGCAAAGGCACGTTTCACCATCTTGAGGGTTGACTTAAGTCCACTCCATCCCTTCCTGGTAATAAAGCATTACTTAGCAGTGAGATACCTCGACTCCACAAAGCACTGTACAACAGCCCCCTCCCCGGGTCCGTAGCAGATCGGAAAGTTAAGTTGGTTTAAAAACTCGAGAAGGCTTAGGATCGTAGACCAGAACGGTGTCCCTGGGGGCCAGGCCTGCTCATGTCGCCTCATGAGCACTAACCCAGCTTCTCCCTCCGAGTCTTGGACATACTGAAATGCATCAGAATGGGCCGTTCGCACCAACGCTCCAGCACGCGGTGGTCTCAGGAACCAGTGTGCCGTTGCCTCTCCTGGAGAAGTTCTAGGTACTTCCCCCACATTTCCAGCCGGGGTCACACCACCAGAAGAGCCTCCATCTGCACTGGACAGTCACCTCATGTCACTTTCTAGAGAGCGTGGGAGCATCAACGAACATTTTGATCCGACCTTCGGGGACATTCCAGAAGGCTGCAGGGCTGCTGAGGGACAGGTGCCCGCGGCAAAAGGCCCCTCCAGTTGTGCTTTGCTGCTGGGGAAGGGTCCACGACTTGGCACTTTCCACCCCACAGGGAGGACCAGAGCTGCTCACCTTGTGCGGCTGGTGGGAGCAGAGCCTTGGAGTCCATCGTTCCTCTACTGAGAGCAGAGCTGTTCTGCGTTGCCCCATTTTCGGGCCAGACATTTCACTTTGTTGCGAAGCCATCAGAGACCGAGCCCAGGTCCGCATTCTCTTTGGAACCCGGGGCTGCCCTCCAGAATGAAAGTCTGCGTAAGTCTAGTTAACTACATTCTAGGTGTCGTATGTGTCACCCCTGTTCTGTTCTTCCTTCCCGCCACCGTTCAACCCTTCGAGCTTGGCTCACTCTGCAGGGTTAAGACAGATGCCGCTAGGCGCTCTGAAGGCTGTCTCCGTCCTGGGGCTGCCTCATCCAGATCCGGTAACAAGGTGGCAGGTAGTTCTTTGCCTCTCGCAGCTGCTGGCTCCCCCCGAAACTGGTGTCACCAACAGGAAAGGCTGTATCAGGGTGCCCCTTCGGTCTGCTTCCTCACACAGGCAGGTCCCATAGTGCAAATCTTGCTGCAGCGAACAGCTTCGGAAAACCCAAAGATCTGACAGATCCAGCCCCTGGCCCCTCATTTCCAGCAATATCCACCTGTCCAAATCCTAGTTTAGCCAAAGGATTGAGGTAGACTCTTTCAGTTCATCTCCCTGGACCTCCCCTGGCACTGACCTTGAGAAAGATTTTTGTCTTCTGCTTGCCCTGGTCTGTGACCACTATGGGACTCTCCCCCACAGGCCCTCGGTTGCTGGCAGGCCAGGAAATAGGGCCATTTCTGTCATGTTCTCGGCAGCTCAGTGTGGTCTTCTGCTGACTTGGACACAACTTGCCTCAAGCCATGTGATTCCCAGGACAGAAGTGGTCCTGTTTGACATACGTGGACGCCAGAGGGGAGGTGGAGAGAGCGCACCTCCGTCCTGCAGGGTGTTCCCCCCTCATCGGACGCCCACGCCAAGGACTGCAGCCTCGTGAGTGGTCGATCTGAGTAGCCTGGGCATGGATGCTCCTGTCCCAACACCGGTCTCCCTCCCTGTGCCTAGACCCACCGGGCAGGCCTCAGATGGTGGTTAGAAACCAGGAAACAAAATGGAAGGGCCACCCGAGCAAAGCTGCTGCCGGATCCCCGAGCAGGTGCCACCAACCCACCTGACAGCCTCGGGCTTGGCGTTCGGGGAATGGCTGTCCGTGGGAAAAGGGTACAGAGGTTTCCTGGAGAGGAGAGAACGGTCTGAGGAAGGACTTTCTTGTTACACGTCCGTAAGCCGCCTAGTGTTCTCCCCTTGAGCTCCCTCCTTTATTTCCTGCACTTTGAAGAAACACCAGGGAAGAACTCTGCGAGGCGTGTTTTCCACTGTGAAGCCAAACCTCTGCCTTTGGGAGTCCCCTGTGCTCGCCCGAGGCCACCTGCTTTGGCCCGGACTCGGACTCGACTCCCCGGCGAGGGGGCACCCGGAGAGCCGTCGGGTACAGCACGCACTCTCGGGGCCCACACGTTCCCCGGAAAGGTTGAAATGAAGCTGGGTTGCAGATGGAGGAGGGAGGCCCTGTGAACGGCAGCCCTGAAGGGGACGGTGCCTGGATGCCGTGGTCACGGTGGACGTGCTCGCAGGGACGGGAAGAGGAGGTGCACGGGCATGGCGGGCGGCCACCTCCTGCCCCGTTGAGCTGGGGTGAGTTCATAGCTTTGCCCTCAGCCCTGAGAACGTGGGTGGCAGCGCTCGTTTGCCTGGGATGTACCTGATGGGGAGCTGCTAGAAAGGCTGCTGGCTTAGAACAGAGAGGCCGAGTTACGGCTCGGGCTGTGCCCTGGAGACGGGAGGCGGGGGCTCCTGTCTCAGCCCTGCCAGCGCCACCCCGGCCCCCGTGTCCCGCGGCCTGCCCCTCTCTCCACTGTGGCTAATGTTTGCTAGGCCAGTTATGGTGAACCAATGATAGAGTGGTGTTTTCCTCTTACGTTTCCCTCCTCGGTTCCCCTGTTCGGGGCTCTCTGCAGGTTTTGTCGTCGTATTGTTTCTCTTCCTCTCTCATCTGGGTTTGGGGATCGTGGTCAGTAGAGGCCTGCCTTTTCCCTGGAGGGGCCCTGTGGCTTCTCTGTGAGGACGCACGTCCCCACCGCCACCACAGGTGTCGCTTTCGAGATCCAACTCCTGTACAGAGAAGGATTTGCTAGGTCTGCAGTTGGGCGTCAGCATCAGGACCCACGGGGGCCCTATCCACCCGCGCGTCCCCACCGGGTACCTTGACTCTTCGAACCAAAGTTCCTTAAAGGGGCACAGCCCAGCCTTGTCCGCAACCTCAGGGGCCTGGGATCCCTGTGGCGCTTCCTGATGTCCAGGTCGGCAGAGACCGTGGGGTCTGAGACCAGCCGGAAGGAAGCCTCCTCCCACAACCCAGGTGCCAGCCGGTCCCCGCCTGGGGCCCTCACTCCCGCCCCGCCAGGGTGGCCGGGTTCCCAGGTGGTGAGCCAGCTCGTGGACTGGCGTGGGGCTGGGACTCGCCAGCCAGGAGAGACAGGACCCGCCGGTCAGCGCGTCCGGGGCCATTCAGATCCCAAGCATCAGGAAATCATTTTGTACAACCACCTGAAGCAGAGATATTTTTTAAAAAGCGTAAATTATTTTCAGTTGTTTTCTGATCCTACCTTTTTCTCCCCCCCCCTCCCCCCCCCCCCCCACAAACTTCACATCAGTGATTCTTTCACATCAGGTAAATCTTGAGAAAGCCTTGGTACCCCTCCCTCCGCGCCCCGCTCAGTAACCACGTGCGTGCACCCCCCCATCCTTTCTCAGTAGTTAAGACGTTCTAGGCAATACCATAGGCACATCTGACTGTGTCTCTCTCTCCGAGTGCAAGAAACTCAAGTCATCTTAAAAAAAAATAAAATACAAAAAAAAATTTACAAAAAAAACAAACACAAAAAAAATATCTTTTTTAGGCCAGAGTTTTCTACAGGTATTAATGAATATTTTTCTTAATCCTTATAAGTTTTATGTGTTTAATATTTCTTAATACCGGTAGCATTAATTTATACTTTTGTAGCAACACAATATTTTTATAAACAGCCAGTGCTTGGCTCCAGTCTCCACGAGGGGTTTATGCAGGGGCCATCTTGGGGCCCTGTGTACCATGTACTGTATTTAAAAAGTTACCTAGTGTCACCCTTGCTGTGTTAATTAACAAGACGTTGTTTGCGGTCTCCTGTGTCGTTGGTGTGGATCCAACAGCTCTCCAAGGAGTCACGTTGCATGGGGGTTGAGTTGATGGTTCTTGTGATCTGTAAACCCCCGAGACCAAACTTGAGGGTTTATTTAGGGTTTTCTGTTTGTCCTTTGGGTTTTTTCGTTTCACTTTGTTTTGGTACCGTATCTCCATTTAACAGCCAAATCAGTTTCGTGATGTTTAAAAACTTTTTCTGATGTCAAATGGAGGAAAGGAACAGAAAAAAAAAAAAAAAGATTTTTACAGAGTAATAAAATTTAAAACTGAGCTGTTTAAATGTTGCTGTTTTTACCTGTCTGTTCTTGTCCAAAAGTGGGACATTCCCAGGAAGAAGAGGAAGGTTCCACTCGGTTCCTTAAATCACCAAAAGCCCTAGCCCAGAATTCACCCCCCACCCCCCGAATTCTTGCAACATTATTTCCCAGTTGGTTGATGCCAAGGCAAAAAGACATCCTTTTAATGGTTAGAGAGGATCAGTTACTTAAATGATTTCATGTCAGTGTTGTATTTATGGTTTTACAATAAAACAACCTTTAGGAAGATGGCGGTGTGTGGTGTTATTTCTTGGGTTTGGCATTGGAGCGTGTCATCTGGTGAGGAGCGGGGGCACCGGTGAATAGAGACGGAGGAGAGGCAGGATCCCTGGGCTTGACAGAGGGGACACGGTGAGGTCGGGGATGTCATCTCAGCTGAGTTGACACGTGCGGCACCAGAGCCAGCTCAGCCCCCGTGTGATCAGTGGTAGGGCCCCTGTGGGCCTTGCTTACGGACCATCGTCCCGTGGAACGATGGAGGAGGAGAAATTTCTGAGTCTCACATGTCCAGTGTCTCAGGAACACATCCAAGTTTGCCTTGTCCGGTGGTCACTGGTGTCACGCCTCTTGCCTCTGGTGACCCGGTACCCAGCAACCTTGGGTGACGTGTGCCTGTGTGTTCTGTCATCCTCCGTCTGGGGAGGAGTGTCTGCGGCTCTGCCAGATTCTCGATGGCATTTGTGGCTCTAAACAGGTTAAAAATCTGTGCCCTCCACGGTGAGCTTTGGGGTACCAGCCTGGGTGGACTTCGGCAGGCCTCACCCAGAGCCTCGCACCCCCGACACACGCACATCAGGGCTTCGAGTCGAGCTGAGGGCAAGTCGAAGGAGAGATGATGCCCCCCAGAAGGCGAGCAGTGGCCCGAGTCGGCCAGAAGGGTGTGTGTGCGCTGCTGTCGGAACGGTCTGCTCAGAGGCCAACGCTGTCGTGCTTTCTCCTGGTCTCAACCAGATGACGGAGCGCTGTCCCCGAAGAGGACATGTTACGGGCGTTGGCTGAACAAATCGCACCAAGTCGCATGTGGAGCATCGCCAGCAGGCTGCTGAGCTGGACAGCGCCCCCCCCCCCCCCCCCCCCCCCCCCCCCCCCCGCCAGGACCATCCTGTGGGTGTTTCCTGTGACCAGTACCCCGGGACATGGCCAAGAGTGGTTGACGTTTCATCGAGGAGTTTCCATGCCGTCTAAGACAAGTCAGGAGTCCACTGTAGCTGAAGAGTCCTTCCCCAGGCCTGGAACATCGCCGTCCTGGAAGAAGGCCAAGGGCATGGCCCAGAGCCTTCATACAACTGAAGGGCCAGTCTCTGGGTTTTTAAAGGTTTTAAAAAAGTATGTGTCGTTACCACGCAGCCACATCGATTTTAGAACAAACGTGACCAGTATCTCTAAGAGAAAATTTAAGGTGAGAATACTTAAGAAGCACCCTGAGTCTTCAGGGCAGCCTCTTGACAAGGGTGATTGTGGTGCCATCTGGGATGAGTGTGCTGGGCTCCGGACTCCGGGTCACAGATGTGCTTCAACCCCACATGTCTGTCTTTAGGACCTGACGAGGCGACAGGCCAACTGGGGAACCGCAGGGGAGGCCCTGGTTGGAGGGACTATCTCACCTCAGCTCCTGCCCCGTGGCCTGCAGGATGCAGTCCCACGGCTGCCGGGCATGTTATTTCAAGAGAATCAAGAAATTTAGGGTGGTTTTTTTTTTTTTTTTTTTTTTTTTTAATGGAAGGCCCATTTTTAAATGGTGAGTTTGGAACTATCTACAAAAAAGACCTTATGAGCCAACATCCCATCTCCCAGCTGCAGCTGCTTCCCACTGGAGGCAGCCGTCCTTCGGGTCACTTCAGAATATTCCTCTACGGAGCACAGTAAGTGGCCAGCCCTGGTATGTGAGGCATGCATGTGGGGGAAGCAAGGTATGGGTGTAGGACATAGTGACCTTTGTTAGTTCAGGCTGGAGAGCCTGTCTCTTCTCCCCAAACAGTTGCCTGTGTCCCTGTTCCTGACCCACCCACTCCTGCCCGACCACACACACTGTCCCCCAGGACAGTCCTCTCTGTTGGAACCTGGAAGCTCCCAGCTTGGGACTTCCCAGGGAGAAGCGGGGGCTCTTTATGTGTTCTGGCCAAGGGGGCTGCAAAGCTTTCTAGAGCCCAAGTCCTTGCCTCTGGATTCATCTCCTCTCTTCTTCCTTCCTGATGTGTCTCTTAAGCGAATGGGCTAATGGCCTGAGAGGGACCCTTGACTGAATTAGGTGCCAGCCCTTAGCACACTAGCCACCCTGCAGAGAAGAGGTGTGCCGGCCCAGCTTGCCGCCTCAGAAGACCCGAAGCTGGGGGGTTGAATCCCGCAGCAGCACCTCTCAGGGTTCTGGGTGGGTGGACCCAGCAAGAGGGGTTTATAAATTAGTTGCAAATCCTGTGTGTCTCCGATGGAAGCTCCTGGCGTCATGTTCTGAGGCTGAGTTGGTGACCGAGCCACCGAGGACAGTCTGCCTATTGTCTTCCTCAAGGCAGGACAAGCCAGGCCAGGCTGAGGGCTTCCAGCCCTGCTCCAGTGCCTCGCTGGTCCCAGACACCGTGTGAAGGTCAGTGAACATTCTCCTCCTGGGGCAAAGGGCCAGAGTGAGGATCCCAGGAGATGGGATCTCAAGGGCCCATCTGATGTGCTTCCCTGACGTTTCATCGAGGAGTTTCCATGCCGTCTAAGACAAGTCAGGAGTCCACTGTAGCTGAAGAGTCCTTCCCCAGGCCTGGAACATCGCCGTCCCGGAAGAAGGCCAAGGGCATGGCCCAGAGCCTTCATACAGCTGAAGGGCCAGTCTCAGGGTTTTTAAAGTTTTTTTAAAGTTTCCTCAGGAAACACCCTGAGGCTTTTCATCCCCTGGCAGCTGGTGCTGGGACATGGCTGTGACCAAAGTAAAATGCTGGAGTGGGCATTGGTGCGGTAAAGGGTGTGAATTGTCTCAGGCACTGTGGGTCACTGGCCCTGACCGGCCCTGGGGCCTGGGCACACGAGGGCACAGTCCTCTCTTCCGACCTTGGGTAGCTGATGACCCGGGTCAAACCTCTCCCAGAAAAAAGTACCCAGAGGTTTTTCACGTCTTCTGGCTTTAATAAAACAAGACAGTCCCATTTTGTCCTATTGTGGAGTAAATAGAACTGTGATTTATGTCTCATAATTTGCATAGCCAATTTCATGTACCGAGGACCATTCTAGTACATTTTCAGCACATTTTTAATTTCTGGGGGGGAGCTGGGGTTACTACCCCCCACCATCCCCAGCCTTGTCCCCCTCTCCCTGCTACCTCGTTACACGGAGGACAGTGAACAGTCACGACAAGGAATTTCAGGAGTCTACAACTGGGTGTTTATTTTGAACCTGGCCCCTGGGACAGGCAGCGGCCTGCAGCCTCCCTGCGGCCTGTGGTCTTCTGGCGTGTGGCCCCGTCAGCTGAGTAAGTGCAGCGGCTCCTTGTCCCCTGCGGACACAGAGACACTCGGGGAGTAGGTGTGGGGCACGCCCAGGGGCCTGGGGATGGGGGTGCCTCGTGAACGAGGGAAGGCAGCTCGGGCTGACTTGGGCCCTGCGCTTGCGGAATGGCTTGGTATCTCCAAAACACATTCCACAGAACAATCTGGGTTTTAGCCTCTTCTGATTGACTCCAAGTGCCCTTTTCCCAGAGCGGGGAGATAAGGCCGAGGGATCAGATGGCCGCTGGTCCCTGGAATGCCATTACTGATAGCCTCACCCTCAGCGTTAGTCACAGCTGCCGCCGCCAGCCGGGTCCAAAGCGCGCGGGGCGCTGGGAAGTGTGCCAAGTGGGTACTCTGTCCCATTTTACAAAAGTAAAAACTGAGGCTCAAGCTGGCACTCGCCCAACGGGGCCAGCCCCCATGTGACAGCATCCCAGCTGGGGGAAGGTCTGGAGTTTAGCCCCATTTTACAGATGGGCAACAGGCCCGGAGAGTGGGTGGGCTGGTCACCCGGTAGGGTCTAGAACTGCTCTCTCCAGACCCCCACCTCCTCCCGGGGCTCGCCTGCCCAGATCCCAGAGCACCCTGCGGGGGCCGCCTACCATTGCCAGGGACCCCGCAGTACTCCTTGCACTCCTTCTCCGAGTAGAACTTGTTGCCGTTGCCTTGGCAGCCCCCGTAGACGAAGGGGACACACTTCCCCTGGGCAGCGTCAAACGCCCAGAGCTTGTAGTAGCCTCGGCAGGGGCCGGGGACAATGGGGAGGCTGCAGGCCGCTGCGGGGTGGGGGGCGGGTGCAGAGCATGAGTAGCCCTTACACTTGGATGACCCTCGAGACACCCAGCAAAGGGCTGGGTGACGAACCAGGGCACCCTGCTCGTCTAGAACACCTAGCTCCTCCGGCGCTGGGAACCTGGGGCCCATGGAAACCAACCACTGGCCTGGGTCACCCACGTACAAGTGTGCAGTTCCTGTGACTTAAGGAAACGTGCCTTAGAATTCCGCCCCTGGCACGTCCTCCCTCAGGACCCTGTCCAGCCGGCATGGGGCCTGCTCGGGAGTCGGGGCTGGGGCGGTGCAGCGTGCCCAGAGGCGAGGGGCCCGCACTCACCCACGGTCCGGCAGGTCTGCAGACACTCCTTCTCCGAGGCAAAGTTGTTCCCGTTGCCCAGGCAGCCGCCGTACTGGAAGGTCTCACAGGCCATGGAGGAGCCATTGTAGAAAAACCTCATGATCATCCCCAGGCAAGGGCCTTCTGCGTGGCCCAGCTGGCAGGAATCTGGGGAGGGGCAGAACGGCAGAGCCTCCTGTCAGCAGGCTGGAAGCCTACCGTGCGCCATCTCGTTTTAGTTTTCCCGTCCGCGCTATGAGGAACGATGGTCAACCCATTTCTCAGATGAGGTAAAGTGACTTGCCCGGGGGATCACACAGCCCAGAGAGTCAAAACCATGATATGTCTGCTGGACTCCAAAATCAGTGCCTATCCCGCTCTATACCCCAGCAACCCACAGATGCACCCCCGTGTTGGTCTAGTCTGTCCTGAGACAGTGGTAGCGGCAGCTGATGATGCCTTCACCCGCACGCAGGCCGGCCAGCCTGACCTCGTCACTGTAAGCCCTACTCCCGCGCCTTTGCTCCCCCTGTTCCTGCCCCTGAAATGCCGTCCTCCAAGGAGCCCTACCTGGACACCTGGACAAAGCATGACTCCCCTTCATCTAGAAGAACTCCTTGATCCCCTTCTCCCTCCCTCCTGAGCTCCCCCAACCCTGCAGCTAACCCTCCCTTTTGGGTCCATCAGTGTCTTCCCTGCCTGTCTCCCCTACTAGACCACAAGCTCCAAAAAGAAGGGGTTTGTCTCCGTGACCCCGGCACCCTCCACAGGGTGGAGCAGGCTCAGTGTTTGCTGAGCAAGCTGGGGAGCGAGTCAGTCGTGAACACTGCCAACTACGCAGCATCCTCATGTCCTCCAGTCTGCTCCCACAAAAGCCCTGATGGTGAGCGCAGCAAGCAGTTGTCCCCACTACAGAGAGGGAGAAACCAAGGCTGGGAGGCCGCACAGTGGTACAGACAGAGCCAGAACTCGCTTCTCCTAGAGTGACGAGTTCCTGAGCCCAGGGGCCACCCTGACAACCTCCGGCACCGCACAGAGGCCCTGACTTGCCTTTTCTAGTTCCCAGTCCTTGCCTAGCAGACAAGAAAGAGACTTTGTGGTGGTGAGGGCAGCCCTCCTCTCTCGAGTATGACAGAAGAGGGTGGAAAGGTGAGTGGCTGTTACCTTCCTTCTTGTTGAAATCAGTTACTGGTTGCCCGGTCCCTGATCCTTCCTCCTCCTGGGCCAGCACAGCCCGCCGGGCCCTCTGCGGGGGAGAGAGAGAGAAGCTGTTGTGGGCACCTCGCCACCATTGCTCACCTGTACCCCTGGGGCATATAAACAAACCATTAGCTTGAGGAATCAGGGTGCAGACAGACGCACAGGAACTACCCTGGTTAATGGACTGTTTTCCCCAAAGCATCAACCTGAATCCCAGAATGGGCATCATGGGGGAGGTTTCTAGTCTGAAAGGAAAATCAGAACCGTGAAGTATAACAATACCCCTGTGTCCAAAAACAGTTGAAATGTCCACAGGGATAAAATAATGGGGAAAAATATCTGAATTGGAACCCAGAAAACGGCACTACTGCTGTGCTAAAAACTCGAAGCCTTTCTACAGGTCGGAGTGTGGGTACGACTGATTTGCGGGAAGGGCTGACCAGACCATCATCGTTAGCTGCTTGCAAAAAGGAAAAGCCACCCAGAGAGGATAGAGAAGGGGCCTCAAGACTGCCCCTGACACTTCTAGCTGTGGCGGTCGGGGCTGAAGAGCAGGGCAGGACGCCAAAGCTGACAAAACCCTCTCGGGGTATACAGCCCACTGACTGCAGGCCCCCAGGGCCATGCGAGGCGGGATGAGCAGGGAGAGCGCCGGCCAACAGGCAGCCTTCCTGCCTGGGGGAGAGACCCGGAATCTGAAAAAGTACATCCGTAGTAACCCCCAACGTTGCCCTTCTCCTTTTAAGGTGCAAGTAAAAGCTGTGATCAGGGACTCCCCCTGTCAAGCTGGCTGCACACAGGCCTGCCTTGGTGAGGGCAAAGGAAAAGAGAAAAACCGTGGAACAATTTAAATAATGCAGCTGCTCAGAAGAGTCCGGTTCCGCCGGAGAAATATCTCCACTACACACAGGATGACAGTAAGAACCAGGAGAAAAACCATCAGTGAAATTCAAGATGACACCGCATTGATATCACAGGGGCCGACAGTTATGGAAATGAATAGAATGAAAAAAGTAGAGAGTTACTGGACGTGGAAAGGATTTTGTTGAATTTAACCACACAGTAGAGATAATAAACTGTAGGTTAGTGATTATAAGAAATAAATTCACATAGTAGGAATTCTAGAAGGAGAGGCGATCGATAGAGAAATAATAGAAAACAACTTTTCTGCTTTGAAGACTTGAGTTGTCCAATTATAAATAGGGATCAAAAGGAATGAAGCAAAATTAGTGAAGAGCCCCACCTAGACATTCCCTAGAGACAAGGATACAGAGCCCAGCGGCCCTTGCAATAAATAGCATTAAATGACAGGCCGCAGAGTAGCATCTGAGGGTTACAAGAGGGGAAAGGTGGTAACCCTGGGATTCTATACTCATCCAAGCTGTTGACCATGTGATATAAACAAAGGCATTTTCACACATGCGAGGATTCAGTAGTTTTCCACCCATGTTGTTTATCTAGAAGAAAACTACTTTTAGAAATATTCCCGGGTACCCGGCTGGGGGCTCAGTTGGTAGAACATGCAACTCTTGATCTTGGGGCTGTGAGTTTCAGCCCCTCGTGGGGTGAAGAGCTTAGTTAAAATCTTAAAAATATATATATTCCCACTGATTGAGACGGGAATCTAAGTGAAAGAAAACAGGTGATGTGATAGCAAATATGACAAAAACTATAAAGCCAATCAAATAGGGAGTTGTTACAACGCTCATAAAACTTACTGTAAATGTTAAAAGTCATTCTCAAAACAAAAGGTGGAAAATATAAACGTCGATCTTAGATTACACCCACAAAGGCAGAGATGTGGGAGGTCTGAAGGGAAGAAATGGAAGTGTGCTCCATTTCTCTTTTTTGCAAGGGGAGTCACTAGTTACGGTTTCATTCTTTTTTTTTTTTTTTAAGATTTTATTTATTTATTTGAGAGAGAGAGAGAATGAGAGATAGCACGAGAGGGAAGAGGGTCAGAGGGAGAAGCAGACTCCTTGCCGAGCAGGAAGCCCAATATGGGACTCGATCCCGGGACTCCAGGATCACGACCTGAGCTGAAGGCAGTCGCTTAACCAACTGAGCCACCCAGGCGCCCCTATGGTTTCATTCTTGATCCTAATAAAGAAATACAGATCCGTCGGGATCTGGATTAAGATGTCAGATTGAAATTTCATTTCAAATTGCCTTTCCAGTATCTAAGAGTGAAAAATGAATTCAGAATACCAATCTCCAAATGTTCATTAGCATCACTCAGTCATGGAAAGGGGCATAGTTTAAACCAAAAGGTAAAACTGTTGATGAAGGCAAGAAATCAGGTATTTTGGAGCTGAACAGGATGGTCAGCTCCGAACTCTGCCCTCTAACTCCCAAGTCATCAAATTTCTGATAATTGTCCCTTAGACTCCCAAATCCTGAGAGAAGGAAATTAAAGGACCCTATCTTTTTCCTCTTCTGACAGAGGAGTAGTGAAGATGACTTCCGGAAGAGGAAAACAGACTAGATCTTTTTAGGTGAAGGCTCTGGGCCTGCACGGTCTAATGCACCGGGGGTGTTGACAAGTGGACATCACTGCCCCAACCAGGTGGAATGAGCCCCACATAGGACATTTAGAAGTTCTTCAAAAGAGAAAGCAAGCAAGCATATTCCAGCCAAGATGGCGCACCTGAGGAAAGCTCTTCCACCTCTGCCCCTTCCCGCCCTTTCCTTGGACTTTAGAAAAGTAGATGGAACACAAAATACCCAGCCCTTAGTCTACATTTGGGTGGGAGGGCATTCGGCTGAATTTTAGCAGGGAAAGGGTCAAGGAGCAAATGACCCCCCCCCCCCCGACCACATACACGCACACCACCACCATATCAGAACAGACGGGCTAAAACTGACTAAGCAGGAGCAAGAGAAAAAGAAATGGTAATGGGACTATCCAGACCCATGTCTGAAATGAAGGAGTAAATAGCCTGAATCAGAGACTGAGCCTGACTGTGGTGGCCCCTGTTATGAACTGCCTAGATGTCCCCTCAGGAATGAACTTACATTCTGAGCCTGAGCCATCAGCCCCTGTTGGAGACTGCCTCAGTGAACGGGACCCCTCTCACCCGAGGTCACGCTTCCTCTCCAGACTGATCAACGTAAGGGTGTTAAGGCTCCACTCCTCAGCGTCCTCATGGGACAACTCCAAAGGCCCTCCCAGTTCTAGAGTGCCCACAGGGTTGGCTGGGGCACTGTGAAGCTCTGCTTCTTCTGCTCAATCCTCCCTCCATCCCTTCCCTTCCACAGGTGTGGATCTAGGAAACCCCACCTATGACATCAACTTAGGAGAAAATATAACTCAACAGGCAGAAGGAAATTCTTCAGGGACCTCAGGCTAAGAATTACTTAAAACAGGTATTTATTAAAACGAGACTCAGAGACAAAATGGTAAACAACAGAATTAAGATGAAAAGAGAGAACTCAGGCCTAGATAAACAAACTGAGAACCAAGACAACATACATTCAGAGCTAGTAAGTGAGAAATAGCAAGGAACAGAATAGATGCTGCTAAATGGAATGACCGTCCTACAAGAAAGGCAAGTGACAATCCCAGTGAATACAGGCGAAAGCAATGTGAGAACGCCACTACGTGAGGAAGACAAAGATGCTCCAGGATGAGAGAGCAAGTGTTCCTGAGGTAGCAAAACCCAAAAAGGGAACGGAAGATGAATACCATATAGTGCAAGAGAGTCCCCTGAAATAGAAAGAAGGTAATCTGTGGATGGAAAGAGCACACTGTATCCCAGAAAACTTTGATATAGAACTCTCAACACCAAGACATATCCTAGTTAGGATGCTGAGTGCAGAGCACCTGGCTGGCTCAGTCGGCAGAGCATGCTACTCGTGATCTCAGGGTTGTGAGTTCAAGCCCCACGTCGGGCTTAGAGCCGGAAGGAAGGAAGGAAGGTTGGAAAAAGATGTACACACCTTCAAGGATAAAGTTTGTCCAGGCATGAAACAAATTGCTTACAAGAAGAAATACCAGACCGGCCTCGGGCTTTCCCAGAGCCGTAATTCGTGCTTAAGAACAACGGAGGAGTGCAGACAACGTTCTGAGTGAAAGGCAACATGACCCAAGAATCTGATGCCCAAGCGAAATGCCATTCAAGTGTGAAGGAAAGGGGCAGGCTTTCTCCAACAGGGAAGAATTCAGGGATTAAAACACACAGAACCCTCCCTGAAAACACCACTTGGTGAAGAAATGGCACAAGAGAAATCAGTGACTCGGGAATGGAGAAGCTCTGTGCTTACATTCACTAGGAGTGAGTGTGGAATACATTAAACTTACAGAACTCTAACTCCATGACTGGGACATGGCGGCAGATGCTTATTTGAACTTCCAGAAGCCCACTCTTTTTTTTTTTTTTTTTAATTCAAATTAAACTACACTTAATGCTTCTAAGACCTGGAAATAGCATCTCTGATACAATTCCATTTCATAACACTATGCCCATATCTGGGCAACTCTCCATCTAACATTCCTTCTATCTATCCTCTCTCCACATGTGGGCGTGTCACCGTTCCTGGGATAATGCAAATGCTGGTAGCTTTTGGGTGGTGGCATTTTTTTAAACTCTTACTTTATATACTTTGTTATTTTTAAATATTTTTTATTTTTTAATTTTAGTTCTTTATAATGAGCACATGTTAGTTTTATAAAATCAATGGTAATTTTTCTTTAAAAATACAGGCCCAGATAAATAATATGTTAACAGTATTGATTCTATGTAGGAATAAAGACACTGTTCTCTTTTTTTACTTTGGTATTTTTTTTTAAATTTTCAAACCTATGTTTCTGATATATTTAGAATATGTATTTGATTAGAAACATAACCTTGAAAATGTATGTGTGTATATATATAATACATATATATACAAATATACACACCTACATACACACACACACACACACACACACACACACACACAAACAGTAGGATATATTGGGATATATAATTTCCAAATAGTCACAGAAAAAAATGAAGAAGCCTTAATCAATATGGTAAAGGCGGGAAAATAAACCAGAAGAGTAAGGAAGCCTAAAAAAATCAAACAGCAGAACAGGGAGAAGTGAGTTGGTTGAGAAGCAGCTTGCTCTCAGGTTTACTGCTTTTTTAGAGATCAACTGACTTTATCTGTTATTTATTGAGTACTATCGTCATTTCATCATTGAGTATTCTACTGGTTGTAGGCGGTACAGTGCTAAGAACTTTTCCAACATGTCACTGAATTCTAGCACATGGAAGGTAAGGGTAACGACCCTATTTCAGAGAGGAGGAAACTAAAGTCTGGATGGGACAGCAAGTGGCCCAGATGGTAGAACTGGGATTGAACCCTGGGGGTCCGACTTCAAGGCCCCATGCCTGTCACTGCCTTCTCTCAACCTCTCTCAATGACCCCACCCACCCACCACAGCAGGACCTAAGCAAGGGCAGCAAAAATCAAGCAGGCGGGTGGGGATAAAGTGGGAAGAAGAGGTGCTTACCATGTGTGGAGAGGGCTCTGGTTCCTGCTCCCCAGGGACACACTCACCTAGGTCAGGACAGGAGAGAGAGGTGAGTACGAGGGCTTAGTTTCTTTCAGAATGCTAGTTACGTGTGCCAGGGGGGCACCACACCAGGAACAGTCTTGGGCCCTAGCCCACTTCATGAACGGCTCCACTCACGTGGCTCGCAGAAGGTCATTCACTGGAAAAGCGACAGGCTGGTGGCCGCAGCGTCCCTGCCATCGGCTCCGTCACAAGAACAGCAGTGGCTAACATCTGCCGAGCACTTACTGACACCAGGCACAGCGCTATTTAAAGGCTTTATTTCACTGACCCCTCACAGCAACTTACAAGGGAGGCATTATTATCCGCCATTTTACATATGAGGAAAGTAAGGCTCTGGAAGGTGCACTAGCCAGAAGTCACACAGCTCCACTTGAACTTCAGTCCTCTAGCTCCGGAGCCCATCCTCTCACACCAACACTGAACTGCCTCCTAAGAGGTACCTACGGATTCTGGATATAACCTCACTTAAACAGGTGGCGCTAGGGTGAGCGCTGAATTGGTTCCAGTCTCAGCTCTGCCAGGTGTATGCTCTGTGACTTGGAGCAAACACGGGGGCCCCAGCTGCCTCCTCTGTAAAGAGGGGTGGGGGGAACTATAACCCTACTTAGCTCAGACGGTTGCTGGAAATACCCAGGGGCTGGGAAGACTGAGGAGGGCACAGAAAGGTGAGGCGGGGTGGGGCTGCATTTACCTTTGTTGGCCAGGGTGAAGATGGAGTCCTCGGGGATGCCCACACCCAAGGCAAGCTCCCTGAACTCCGCCAGCAGGCTTTCTCGAAGCTGCGGCTGTCGCCCTGCAATGGGAAGCAGAGAAGATGCCTAGAACCACGGGTGCCTCGGCTGGCAAGGCCTGGGATTATTCTGCCCAGGGATTTTCATTTAGAAGTTGAAAACTATCAGCCCAATGTGATCTCTTCAAAACACTTATGGAAAGATTGGCTCACATAAGAGAAAGAGATGTCCCTCCCAGGCTCCCACCCAGGTCCCCCAAATCCCCACACATGGCTCTTTCCACTGGTTAAGGGCCTGGAAGCTCTGGAATTCTCTGGGCCTAGAATTTTAAAGACCAGAAAAAGAGGATTCTACCTCAGATGGAAGACTGAGCTCTACCTCCTCCAGGGAGAGTAAATGTTTCCACCTTTCCCATAACTGGAGTCTTCCCAGAAGGATAAAGCAAAACTCCCGACTCCTCGCCATTCCACTGTCCCTAAATCATGGACCTTCTCCCATGCCCAACTCCTGCGGGCTTATGTAGCTCCAGGCCTTTACCATAGAGCTTGGCAGTAATGGTGGGCCCATGGTGGCGGCTGAATTTCTTGGTCAGAAAGATGGCGTACTCATCATAGTCAGTGTGGACCACGTAGGACTCCATGGTGATGTTCCATTCTGTATGGGAGATGCAGGAAGCCAAAGGGATCAGTGGTCAGAAGGCTCTTCTAGCCTGAGGTCCTTCACCTATTCCCCCCACACATCATCTGTTCATCCATCCTTCTGTCTATCCATCTGTCTCCTCCATATATTTATCATTAATTCATCCACCATTACTCCATCCACCCATCCTCTCCATACATCACACCATAAATCCACTTCCTTCCTTTCCTCCTCCCTTACCTGCTCTTCCTCCCTCCACTCATTAGTCTATCAGTTGATCTATCAGATGACCGATTCACTCACTCACCTGCCACCTGTAGCTGCACTCGTTTACCAGTCATTTGCTGCTTCTCTCACTCATCTTTTCTTTCCAACCATCCATCTACCCAAACATTCGTATATTCAACCACTCATACAATTATCTGACACACACAGCATATCTGATAAACATCTGCCGGATGAATGGCTATCTTTATGTCCCAATCCCTCTGTCACTCAGTACCATGCACACCGGGCATGGCAGCTGCTCAGCAAATTCTTATCAGCTGATTGCGGATGCCTACCATGAGGGCTGATGAGATCCCGATGTTATCCTCAGAATTCAGCAACACCCCTTTCTTTCTGGATGCCCGTAAGTGCACGAGAGAGAAGGACACAGAGGGGGAAGGAGGACGACGAGGCGAAGGATGAGGAGGAACCTACAGGAAGCATCTCAGAAACGTGGCTTTGGGGGCAGAGAGTGCCGAGGCAGAAAGAAAGAGAGCTTCGGACACATCGAGGTTTTTGCAGCAAAGGGCAGAACTGCGGAAGACGCCTCCAACTCAACTTACTGGGATTATGATAGAAGAACTTTCCGTTAGTGCTGGTTTTCTCATAAGCCCCGGAGAGCTCCTCACAGGTGCCTCTCCTGGAGATGTACAAACCAGAAGAAAGGTAACCGCTGGCAGAGACCGAGGTCCCGACACCCACTCTCCCACAGGGTCCTTTCCGCTTTTTTTTTTTCCCCCTTTTTGTAACTTGGAAAGTTAACACTCCCAAATGTCTTGTTTCAGCCTCACCCCAGTGCTAGGGGACCCGTTCACGTTAGGAAGGAAGAGAGGGACAGAGACAAAAGGGACTAGTCCATGCCATCCTCTCGGCAAAGCCAGCACTAAACATCAGCTTCCTTCCCCAAATCTGCACATCAGACTGACACGTGGGGAGGGAAGGGTGATCAGTGAATGCTTTGATGTGTTTATTACCCTGCGTCTCTCTGGCCCCAGTTCCCTCATCTGTGAAATGGGGATCGTGAAGCCTCACATGGCGGTCATGAGGGTCCATTGAGATACTATTAAACAGCTCACAGTAAGCACTACGAACACACCAACTGTTGTTACAATGACTGCTCATTATCTTATTAACATTTATCAAGCAACATCTGTGTGCTGGGCACTGTGCTACATGCGGAGGACACGGAGGAGGGCAGGATGGACTCTGTCTGCTCACGGACCCTAGAACTGAGTGGGGCCCAGGGCCAGGCCAGAGACCCAACGCAGTCAGTGCGGTGCCATGCGGAGAGAAGCTTGAGGTGCTCCAAGAGCACAAAGGAAGGCATGTAACCTGAACCTTGGTGGCGGTCAGGGAGGGCTTCCTGAAGGATATGACACAGAACCTGAGTCCTAAAGAGTCCACAGGAATTAGCCCAGGGAGATGGGGAGAGATTTTCCCAGTAGAAGGAACATCAGATGCGAAATGGTGGAAGGTTCCAGGAACTGAAAGAAGGTCGACTTGGGTTGGTCACAGAGTACCTGGTAAGTGCTGGGAGAGGCCCAGGCCACATCAAAGGAGCTGGATTTTATTCCCAAGGGCCATAGGGAGCTATGGAAAGGTTTAAGCAGACTTGAGTTTTCAAGAGGCCTTTTGTTTGCTGGGTAAAAGGTTTGAGATTAGAGATGGGGAGGAGCGTAGACAGCCTGGAAAGAAAGGCAGGTGGCCTGGGCCAGGGCGGGAATGGTACATAACGGAGAAGCGGACAGCGTGGAGAGATTTAGGAAGAGAAAGGACAGGGCCTGATGGTGGACTGCGCGGCCTGTGGCAGCAGAGAGAGGGGTCTTAGCACCTGCCTCCTACCCAGGTTTCCAGGTTGGGTCCTGGGGGCCGGAAGGGTCCTGACTGAGCTAAGGACACCCAAGGATCAAGAGCAGATTTTGAAATAGGCATGTGTTGGGGTGCTGGCCCCCAGGTGCTGATGGGACAGTTCAGAAGGCGTGCCCTGGGCGAGGGCGGCAGAGGGACCTGGAGCTCAGAGGCAAGGTTCCTGCTGGGAGGAGAGCTCAACTCTCCAGGACAGGGTGATGACTGAGGCTGGGCTGGGGTGGCAGGTGGGCCCTGGCCTCTCCGCCCCTCCCACCCCACCCCCTCACTCACCGCCAACGTGTGCTGGTCATGCTGATCTCCCCATCCGTCGCCCCCTCGCCCAGCACCAGCGTGCTCATGGACATCCTGTCCATGAACTTCTTCAGCCACGGGCAGGTGGAGCCCATGGCCACATGAAACCACTTCCCGTAGATCTAGGAGGCAGCCACAAGCTCTGAGGATCTGGGTTTGCCTCAGACCGCAAAGACAACTTGCCAAACACCTGCTCCCCTCCCTCCTGTCAATGAGAAGCTGTAATGTCTGACAGCTAATCGGAGACCACGCAGCTTCCAGGACGGACGGAGCCTAATGGTGGAACTTCCGTCCTCACGGCAAGCCTAGGAAGTGGGAGTGCAGATGGGGACCCACCCCGCTCAGTGGAAGGCCTTACTCTGCTTAGGTAGAGGATCTGTGCTGCTCACTTGGATGAGGCCCCGAGCCCCAGGGTTGAAGGTCATCTTCAACCACTGCTCCCCCAGCTGTCTTTCGCTCCTCCAAAGACAGGGAGCTCAGCACCTGGCAGGCAGCCCATAGCTCCGGGCTAGAAAGGATCTCCCCTCCTTGAACTAACTCAGGACAAGCCTGCTACCTCCTCCTCTTGGCCACAAAGCATAGAGTTGAAAAAGCCCTCACACATCCTGAGGAATGAGCCAGACCACTGCAGCACCCCCCCGCCCCACCGAGTGCCCCTCCACCCACAACCCCTGCTTGTCTCTGAGCATAAACAAAATCCACGGCTAGAAGGGTCCGAGAGCCCCTCCAGGTCACCCAGTGACTGCGCCCAGAGTGGGAGCTGGGAGGCGGTCCTGGGGCTCCCGCACACTGCGCCTGCCCAGCCCTCTGAGTCCCACCGGCTCGATCTCTCTCCTGCTTCTCCCACGTCTGCCCTGTGCCACCCGGGATCTCCGTCCACAGCCGGGCCTGTGAGGGCGGCGCACCCAGGGTGGCAACAGGTTGTGGGGAGAGGGGAGTGGCCGAAAGCCGAAGGGCTGGGGAGGGGGGGCAGGAAGTCACAAGAAGCTAAGCATGTGAGGGGGCTGCAGGAGCCTTCCCCAGGGTGGGCTGCAATCTGTAACGGAAGGCACAGAGCCCCCTGCGGCCCAGGGGGGCAGGTTCACACAGGAGATCGTGAGATCGTCAGACAAGAGGCTCGCAGAATGGCAGGTGCATAGCGTCGTAGCGAACCCCAGACGGTCTGAGCAGGCCCTGAGGAACCCAGCCCTGAGTTCCAGATTGGGAGATTTGCAACCCACCCCACCCCCGCACCCGCAAGGCCCAGCTGCTCGGACAGCCAGCCGTCGCCGCCAGAGAGGCCAGCCTTACCCGAGAGATGTTGAAGTTCTCTTGCACTTGGATGGCGTCAGGCGGCGTCAGCACGGGACTGGCACTCACGGCCAGGCAGGCAGTCAGCAACAGAAACGGAGCCCTGAGACTCCACATGGTTCTGGGCTCTTCTGCCTCGGGTGTCGCTCACAGGCTCTGTCTGGGGACAGGAGCCACCGCCTCTCTGCCTACGGCAGCTTCGGACTGAGGCTGGGGAGGGGGCCAGCAGCTTGTAGGTGACCTTGGTATTTGCCCTGCTCAGCCTGAACCAATCAGGGCCCTAAGCCCAGGTCTGATCGATCCCTTGCAATGTCCTGCCCCGGGTCAGTGGTCCCAAGGAGCCAGGGTGGCTGTTTCAGGGGAGGCACTGGCCAAACACAACCTGGCCCGGGTGCAGCCCAGGCTCCCCGCAGAGAGGAGATGAGCAGCCTGTCGCCTTTCCCAGTGGGTCATCTGCCTGAACCTCCCCCTCCAGTGGGAGCCAGCAGAGTGAGCTCATCGGGCCCCTTCCTCACACAAGAAAACAGGAGGCCCAGGGAGAAGAAACGACGTAGCAGAGCCCACGGGGGGCGGGGGGAGCGTCTAAAGGCATAGTCCCAATGAGGACGCAGGCATCCTGTCTCCAGAGTTCCCTCTCTGACCCCTGGCTTCCTGGAGTCCTAGCAAGGAAGAGTAGGAATAATAACGATGATTTCCACAGCAGCTTCCATTCCCTGAGCACCTGCTCCAAACCAGCTTTGTACCAACACTTTACACGTACCACAGAATGGAATTCAATCCCTACAGCAACTCTAGAAAGTAGGTGCTGTTTTTCCCTCTTTAAAGACAGGGGACTTGAGGGGTGCCTCAGCCGGTGAAGCGGCTGCCTTCGGCTCAGGTCATGATCCCAAGGTCCTGGGATTGAGTCCGGTGTCCGGCTCCTTGCTCAACAGGGAGTTTGCTTCTCCCTCTGCCTCTGCCCCTCCCCCTAACTCGGGTGCGCACGATGGGTACGTGCGCTTTTTCTCTCTGAAATAAATAAGTAAAATCTTTAAGAAAAACAGAGAATAAAGACAGAGGATTTGAGGCTCTGAGAAGTAGGGTGCCTTGCCCCGGGGCTCCCTGCTGGGAAGCAGAGCTGCTGGGACAGGCGGCAGTGGGCGGTGGCTGAGAGCATGGACTCAGGAGCCAGCCTGCATCCCGTGCTGGCCTTGGGCGAGTGACGTGTCCTCCCACTGCCTGGGCTTCCTCATCAGTGAATGGGGACGCCAGTTGCTGGTCCACAGAACTGTTGTGAGGTCAGGGGCACGGAGCTTTGCAAAAGCCCTAGGGCAGCGTCTGGCACGTGGTAAAAGGTGAATGTGTTTGTAGCAGGTTGAACACAGTGTCCCCAGCAAAATTCGTGTGCACCTGGGACCTCAATGTGACCTCATCTGCAGAGGCAATTAGCTAAGATGAGGTGATAATGGATGAGCGTGGGCCCTACATCTAACGCCTGGTGTCTTAATAAGAGAAAGGGGAGGGAGACTCAGACGCAGAGGGACGCAGAGGGACGAACAGGGAAGACAGCCATGTGAAGCCCAGGACAGGGATGGGAGCCAGCTACATACGAGTCAAGGAATGCCAAGGTCTGCTGGGACTCACCAGAAGCTAGGAAGAGGCAAGCAAGGATTCTTTTCTAGAAACTTCAGGAAGACTGTGGGCCCACTGACAGTCTGGTGTCAGGCTTCCAGCCTCCAGAACTGGGAGAGAATACATTTCTGTTGTTGTAACCCACCCAGTTGTGATACTTTGTTAACGGCAGCCTTAGGAAACTGTATACTGTTCATTAAACAATTTCAAAGAGAATTTTTAAAAAAAAACCTAGGTCTGTTTGTCTCCAAAGCTCAAACTCTTGCCCCTGCTACTGTGGGCCCTCTCGGTGAAGCTCTGTTTTCCAACAGTCAAGAGTCGCTGTCCTTACTTCCTCCCTGTTCTTGACATGGAACATTCCATGCTCACGGAAGGCCCCCTGCTATGGCTGGGCATGCCCCCTTCAGATAGGGGGTTCAAAAGCAAGAGCCACGTTCATGTGAGAATCCAGGAGAACCCCCTCCCCCCAGCGGCACCAGTAAATGGTGTGTCACGTCCCTCTGTAAGAGCCACCCAATACCTTCATCTCTCACCAGTATCAGGTACAAATATGTCTCTATTCCTAAGTGACTGTTTCCTTTGCTCCATCACCAACACCTTGGCTACTGACGGCATTTCCTTTTTGCTTTGGCTGCCAGGAAGCTCAAAGCCATGTTACAAATTTTATCACACCACCCATCTCGGCTTAGATTTCTGGGGACAATTACCTTCCCTCTTGTTCACAAGGTTTCTCAATCTCTCATGGTTTGGTTAGCGGTGGTAGAAGGAAGGCAGTCTGCCATAAGAGGCATTCAGAGAACTGGGAGCCAGAAGCCCTGACTTCTCTTCCACTATCTTTGCAGAGGACTTTCCCTCTCTAAAGCCCACTTTCCTCATCTATAAACTGAAGATAACAGTCCTTGTTCTGTCCGCCAAGAGGTCAAGTGAGGCAGTGGGTCAGAGTGCTCTGTAAACTGTCCACTGTCCCACCTGGTGATGAACTCCAGCTTTCTATCTGGGGGGAAACTGAGCTGGTATGAGACTGAAACACTAACAGTCAGGAGGAATAGAGCCCTCTCTGAAGCTTGCCCACAGCCTCACGACGGCTCCTCTGCTCTTCCCAGCAGGTCTGCATTAGGACTGTCAACGCCACTGACCCCACGGGAAGGCTGGGGAACACAGGGGTAAAGACAAATACTGGCCTCTTTAGGACAGAACTGTTCATTCAGCCACACGGCCTCTCCCGGGGGGAGGGGGGGGCAGAGGCCTAGATGTTGATCTCCTTGCCTGCCTCCAGGGATGTTTGCTATCCTGAGATGATTAACCAGAGCAAACAGAGAGAGCAAACTCTTCCAAAGCCCACCTGGACTTTGAGCTGTTTTTTAAAAAATTAACCCTGGACCGCAGGATGCAAGGTCATTAGTGGTCTGGGGATGCTGACCCCTCTTCCCCCTCTGGCCATCAGGGCGGGAGGGTGGAGGCTCTGGGGCCACCTCCAGAACCAGCCCAAGTGGAGGCGGAGGGCCTACCATCCAGGAGGTACGGCAGGAACGGAGGGTCATTTTCAGATGAACACATGGGGGCTCAGGGAGGGAAAAGGACTTGTTCAAGGTCACCCAGCTTACGGCTGAGCTGGGGTGCTTGGTGCTGGGGGTATGATGGAGCACACGAAGGGCCTCCTAGAGTTCACTCCTCGTGGGGGGCGGGGGGGGAGGAGAAGATGGTAAGTCAGATGGTCACTGCAGTGATGGGGCACAGAGGGAGGGGAGGGGGGTCTAACCTGCTGGGGAGTTCGCCAGACAAAAGTGCAAGGGGGCCCGTGGAGGGAGGAGAGGGTGCTCCAGACCGAGGGACAGCACCACTGGAGCCGAAGAGGAGGCAGATGGCGAGACAACGATGTATCTGGGAAGCAAAAACCAACCAGCCAACCAACCAGCCAACCATCCAAACTACGGAGCTGGAGCTTGGGCGGGGGAGTGGGGGAGGGGAGGCAAGTAGCGAGAGTGAGGCTGCGGAGGGGGCCGAGGCCCAGCATGTAGGACTGCGATGCCAGCCCAAAGGTCTGCTCGTGAATCTGGAATGGGTGGGGAGTGCCAGTGGGTTTTCAGAAGGGAATGGCCCATCAGATCTGTAATCGGGAGAGATCCATGAAGAGGGAGTGGAAGTGAGGGCCAGAAAGCAACTCCCTACGAGGTTCTCCAGGAAGGAGGAAGGACCAACAGGGACATCAAGGCCACAGGGCAGGACTCAGACCAGAGGGCGTGGTCAGAGTTCGGGCCTTGGTGGAAGGGGATAGCGGGGTCCTTCCTTCCCTACGAGGAGGTATCCAGCCCCAGGCCTTGCCCCAGACACCTGACTCTGCGCAGTTCCCCTGGACTCAGAGTGTGGCCTGCCCACTCATGGTGAAATTGGAGGTGGGCAGCACCCGGACTCCATAAATAGCATCAGGAGAGGGGACCTTCCACTGCTCGGCTGTTTCTATGCTTTACTTCTTCCCCACCCATCCCAAAGAGCTAGTCCACCTACAACTTTGAGTCCCAGCCCTTGTGATTTGCTGGGTGACCATGGGGGGGCAGGCTTTTCCTTCCCTGACCTCACCTTCCTCATCCAGACCTGCAAATGAGGCTAAAGCAGCTCACTGGACACGGCTGATATAAGAGCTCAGTGAGGGACATTTGTGAGCATCCTCCCTGCTCCCCAAGTGTGCACACTGGAGGGGCCTGCATCCTCACAGGCACCTAGCACAGCGTGGGGTTCCAGGTAAGGGCCCCAGAAATGCAGGAATTACACTGCCAGGAGGTGAGAGCGCCCCATGTCCGCTAGAGGGCAGCAGAGAACTTCTAGAAAGACCACCCAGGTTTGCTCAGCCGGCTCCACACAGACCAGGAGCCAGAGGCCTACAGCAAAGGCCCATAGAAGTGGTAGAACCAGCACTAGAACCCGGCCTTCCTTGCCCCAGGACTGCTTCAAATCCCCTGGGGAATATAGAACATTCAGCCTCTACCTTGCCTATACCCTACCTAGCTACAGAGCTGGATGCTTAGATGGGGCCCTTTTAGAAACAGTTTCCTGGAAGATTCTCCTGGTGAACCAGACTTGGGTGCCACTGCTTTAGACCACAAAGGCAGACTCAATTCCTACATGTGCCAGGCCCCAGGCCGGGCGCCCTACAAGCACATCTTACTGAATCCTCCCATTAAGGCTCCATCACTTTACTACAACGGTTGCTCTATTTTAGAGAGAGAGAAACTGAGGCTAAGGGCTCAGGTGAACAGGTGCTAAGGCCACCCAGCTAATAAGTTGTGATTCGAACTCGGATCTGTCTCCCTGACACCTGCGTCACTCTGCTTACCTCCCAGACCCTGTCCCCTCCTAAACAGGACCTTGGGCCCTGTTCTTTCAGACACCTGGAGCAGAAGGGTGGGTCATTGCCCTCCACTGGACTCCTCACTGCAGGAGTCAGGCTTACATGTGCCTGCTTCTCCCTTCCCCAGCCAAGAGCATGCTCCGGGCCTGCCACACCAAGACCTGACCCATCCCTTCCTCCCTGGGGCGGAGCAGTATGTCAGGCACTTAGTAGGTGCTCAGTGAACACATACCAACTGACTTCCTTAGAGCTGTGAAGGAGAATGTAGGTCAGACCCCCAAGGACCACCAAACTACAAGGCAGCTGAAGGAGGCTAGAAGATTGGAATCACTACTCCAAGTCCTTAAATCATGATCAGCGAATGACTAGAAAGCTCAAGGACACAGTCCAAAAGGCAAAGAGACTTTGTTTGGTGGTGGCATTTCCTTGTGTCCCCAGTTTTGAATTAGTCTGTGTGCCATGGCCGGGAGGACTCCCAAGCTTCATTTAGCAGAGTGATGGTCAAGCGGTTGAACTTTGCTTCCAGACAGACCTGGGTCCCAGTTACGGCTGTGCCTCCTTCTTGCCTATGTGATCCTAAGTGACTTCACCTTTTAGGATCTGAGTTTTCCCCTCCATTAAATGGGGTTAAGAGGAGCCCATGGGATGTAGAGGAATGAAATGATGAAGGACAGGTCATGTTCTTGCTCCTTGAAGAGAGCGGAGTGAAGAGTGCCCTTGGATGTTGTCAGTCTAGCCTCCTGACTGTGGGAGAGGCAGGCTTAGCCTGGAGAAGCAGCTTGCAAAGTGAGACACTCTGGAACTGAGTGCCCTTGAGGTCCAGGGGACAGAGCTTGTGGCCACTGTCCAGCTCCCTTTGCGCCAGTGAAGAAACAGTTTTCCCAAAGGAGTAAACATCCAAAGACTGGACTGTTTCCAGGAAGAGGACCCAGGCATTTTCCTGCTCTTTGCAGGCTGGTCTTATCTGTCCATTAAAGCAGGACCTCCAGGGACCTGCCCTGACTCTTGGCTGACCGAGCTGATATCACCGAATGTCCTCAGATGGACTAAAATAGCTCGTTCCCAAAACCTCGAGGCAAGCTGGACTTTTTGGAAAGTCCCCCTGGCCCTCCTTCAATGAAGACAAATGAATGTCTCTTAATTAGCCCTGGCAGAGCAGCGGGGACTCTTCCCTGGCTCTTGCACGGGGAGACAGTCCTGGATGGCCACTCTCTCCCTGCAAGAATCCACGTTCGAAGAGTCACCTCGTAGGAAGGAGCCGGCAGAGTGGCTATCAACCAGTTCATGAGTCTGAAATGACCAGGGAGCAGATCGTGACAATTCCTCTCCTGCGAGGACAGGAACATTGCACATGTGTGCTGAGAGCATCCGTTATTAATAATAACAGGAATAACGATTAGCATTTATGTAGCACTGACCTGGTGCCAGGCTCTGTCCTCAACAGTTTATGTGGAGTTGCTTTTAATCCTCATCTCCTATCTTCTATGAGCGCTTAGTAACTTCTCACAGGATAAACCTATCTTATCCCCACCTTACAGAGGAGGAGCCTGAGGTTCAGAGAGGTTAACTATCTTGCCCAGGCTCTCACAGCCGTAAGTCGGACTGAGGCTGGAAGAGGGGCTGCATCTGCCCAACGTTCCGATGCCTAGAGACTATCCAGACCTCCAGCCTGACAGCCAGTAGACCCCTGCTTACACTTCCGCTGGCTGCTATGCCGGGCTTCATAGCAAGACCCCCCCCCCCCCGCACCACACTGCCCCCACCATTAAAATAAAGGAAGGGGGATCTCTGGAAGCCCAACAAGGGCACAACAACAGAAGTCACCTAAGAGAACACAAACTATCCCTCAGAGGGGCTGAAATCAACCTGTTGGGTACAAACCTGAATATGAATTTGGGGCAAATGTGTCACTAGACAAAGGGCAGACAGACCCCGAGAGAAGGCAGGACACGTCTGGGAGGTGAAAGGAGGCTGGTGCAGCCAGAGCAGAGATGGGAGGGAGATGTTCTCGGCAGTGGGGTCTGCACACTGTCTGACATTATCTGCACCCGCTGGGGTCTATCTTGGGCTTGAATGCCCAGAGGAGACCTCAAAAGCAGCACAAGGACCCACAGGTGTGCTCTTCCTAACCTTAAGTCCTACAGTGATGCTTCCAGCCAAACTCCTGTTCCTGCACTGGCTGAGAGGGAGGGTCCCCAAGGATCTGGAGAATTCAGCCAGGGCTCTAGACATCTAGATTCATCTCTAGATTTGCCAGCATTCTAGGAACTCATGGATGGCCTTCCAAGCTCTGCTGAACATCCCCCTCCCCAGCTAGAGAGTTCAGAGAATCCTTCCCAAATTCTACACACAGTTTTAAAATTTCTGAGAGATCATTTAAGGATCTGGGATTCCAGAAAATGTCTACAGTGCTTCAGGATTTCCTAGAGCATCCCTCAATTCTGATGTACCAGAAACCTTCTAAGCTTACAGTTCTGGAGGACGATTACCCTATTTCATGGGGCTGAAGAAGCGACCTCAGATTCCAGCATCCTGGGGAAGCCCGATAGCTTTCAGGGCTCCAGAAGTGCCCTCTGGAGTCCTCACACGCTAAGGACCACTGGACTTGAAGAGTCTTGATACATTACTGGGGTCCTCTGGAATTCCTCCAGGGTTTCAGGATTCTGGACAAGGGGCAGTTCTAGAGCAAGGATGTTGACCTGGAGATGGACACATGGCCTAGGAGATGGGGTGCTGGAAACTGGTCTCCTTGAGTCTATCTGTGGGAAAGTAAGTGGGGGTTTTGCTGAGCTGGAACTAGGAAACTGGAAAATCATGGCTGGCTCCAGCGGAAGGAGGAATCATCCAAACACAAAATGAACCCGCAATAGCCAGGGTCCCCCTGGGTGGTCCCTGTCCACCGTCCCGAGGCAGCTGAGGAAAGCTCTCACGCTCAGTGCCAGGGGCCTTCCCCGCCGGGGGGCTGGAGACCTGCCAGCAAGCAGGGCCCCCATACAGTGAGAGAGAGAGAGAAGGGCTCTGGAGAGGGGGAGCCCAGGCTCGAGGATGCTGAACCACTGGGGCCCAGGTGGCACCACAATTACTTAGAATAGAGATGGCACTAACCAGGTTCACCCTCCTCCCCTCCTTCAGGTCTCCGCATGAATGTCACCTGCACCCCCCTATTTAAAATTGCACCCACCCTGGCAGATGGACCTCCCTGCTAGATTTTGCTCCATGGCATTTATCACCAAGTTCCCTCTATTCTGCTCTTTTTCTTGTTTCCTGTGTTCGGTGACGGTAAGGATTCTTAGGCTTTGTTCAATGCTGGTCCAAAGTGGGTTCTCCATAGGGATTTGTGGAACGAATTTTTTCTGAACCCAGATCGATTTCATCAAATGGTCATATTGACTGAAAGTTGCTTTTGGCTAAACTGTCTGCAACAAGCAAAGCCTCGTGCTGTACTCTTTCCATCCACAAGTAGATTTAATCCCTGCAACTGTCCAGCGAGGGGGTACTACTATAGTAGCCATCCTGCAGATGTGAGGACTCAGGTTCGCAGCAGTGAAGTCATTTGCCCAGGATCACTCATGGTTAAGTGAGGAGGCAAGATGCGCCCGTGTGTGGTTCAGTCTGCGGACTGAACCAAGCCCACTCTGCTGGGCCCAGTGGCCTGTGGCCTCTGGTTGTCACCCCTCGTCCTGGGCCCCGCCTTCTTCCACTGAGTCTCCACTGTTGGACACCCCGAATGCCCAGTCACACGTCTTGCCTTTCAATACCTGGCTGCTGTGAGCTTCCTGGGCAAAGCCAGCGTGTCCCTGGTCAGTCCTGTTCACCACCCTGGTTTATGCCGATGCCAGGAGTGTTGAATGAATGAATGAGCGAACAAAGGTAGGAATGAGCCCTGTGGGTCTCAGTTTCCCTAACTATAAAATGGAAGAGTAAGATTAGTCCCGTCGCTCCTTCTTTAATGAGATCCTCCCACTAGCACCTCCAATTTCTCATGTCACATCTGGACTTCCCCCTAATTGTAGACCCACTGCATCCCCCTGGGATCCTGATATCCTCTTCACCTCCTGACCCTCACTTGAACTCCACAGACAAGGAGTCTCACCTCCCATCTAATTGGCTGAACACCATAAAGTGATCCAGGGACGGTTCAAGGCCTGTCCAAGGTCCCAGGAAGTCTGTGGCATCGGAACTCAGACCTCAGGACCCCTCCAGCACCAGCACGCATGCAGCCCGCACAAAGGTCAGCTGGAACTGGTCTCCCTCACACTCCCGCACGGAGACGCTCACCATTTGATTTCCCCACGTCTGCCCTGGTACATGTAGCAGTTGCTCAACTAAAACTTCTATCATATACGAAGGAGATGGCAACCTGGACTATTCCTGATCAGAAGGGGCACGCACCTCTGCCGAGAGTCCTCTTCTCCTCCTCGCGCTCCCCTGAGAGTCCCTCCTCTCTGGGATGTCTCCACGCAGAAGTGCCTGACGCCCCGAGAGAGGACCCACCACATTCGGAGCCGACACCTCTCTTTATTCGTCTATTTCGTCACCTGCTGCCTGGCTTCTCCCAAATCCAGTCTCATCTCTCACAGTCCGGGGCGGCACCCTCCCTCTGCTCCCCCAAACTGCCCACCAGCTCCTACCCGCGGCCCTCAGGAACTCCCCTCTGCCTGGCAGGGCAGCTGCCATCCCCACTGTGCAGATGGGGGGACTGAGCCCTGGAGCGCAGAGCCCAGACCAAGGTCACGCGGCGGTCTCCTGGGTTTCTGCTTTGCCCTCAGCAGGGAGGGAGGACTCGGCTGGGGCTCCGTGTAGCCTCGCTGGGGGGTGGCTGGCTCCGGCCGCGACGGAGGGAGCTGCCAATTTGGTCTCTGAGGGCCTCCAGTCTCCGGGCCAGGTTTGGAACTGCAGCCCCACCTGAGGAGCACACGGTGAGACTCAAGGCCTGCGCTCCCTTGGGCCCCTCCCCGCCCAGAACTACCAGTGTCCCAACACCCTCTGGGAAAGCCTCAGGGGGTTCCCCGCTCCCTCAACATACACCACGGGCTCCTGCACACATCTGGACATACAAGTGGCCCCGGGAAGAGAATTCCAAGTTTGGGAATTGGCTTACAAATCGCCTCTCAACACACACCCTGTTTCAGAGATGGGAAGACTAAGGTCTGGAGAGGGTGGGTCTGGCCCAAGATCACAAAAAAAAAAAAAAAAAAAAAATCCCACAAAGGGCCCCTCCCTCTCTCTCTTCTTCACCTCTCAGCACTGGTGACGTGTTCGGGGGCCCCATGGGCAAGGGAGGTGCAGAGGGTACCACCTCCTCCTCCGTCAGCATCTCTGCCAGGACTCGGGTCTGAGTCCAGTCGCTAGGACTCCTGGGCCAGGGTGGGTTGGGTGGTAGGAGGTGAGCCTTCGAGTTCCCAGGCCCGGTCCCCTCCTCCCCTGTCCCAGTGCCCCAGGGCTGGCCCACCTCTCTCTCGGACACTTGGCAGAGCCAGGGTTGCATGGGGGTGCCCAGGGTGGGGGCTGGGCAGAGAGGGGCATGCCACCTGGGGCCTTAGGGCCAAACACCTGCAGGAAAGACCAGAGCCCCCACTGGGTGACCCTGCCTCTACGTGCCCCCACCTTCCTGGTGCTACCACCATCTTGGCCACGTCTGCCCCCACGGGACACCAAGAATATCAGGTGGACATAAAGGTGCAGGGTCTTGGTCCCTTTTTCTGTGGGCAGTGGGTAGCCCTTGGAAGGTCCTCTCTGGAGACAGGAACTCCTTGAGGGCAGGAACCGTGTCTGGTCTCTGTCGGGATTCTCGGTGCCCAGAACTGGGGCTGGCACAAAGCTGGGAGCTTCGGGGAGAGTCACGGAGCAAGTGAACGAGCACGTGAGTGAAGATGTAAATGAGCACTGTGCGAGCGGACGAGGGAGTACGCCAAGTGAGCGAGGCTCCGTGGCGTCCTGAGAGAAGGCAGGACGGGGAGGGGGCCGAGGCGAGCGAGCCAGCCTTTCCGAAGCCTGGGTCGGGGCCCACACCTAGCCCCTCAGCCTGGGACCCTGCAACTCCGGAGCCTCCTGGGCCGCTGACCCCCTGGATCAAAGTCTCCAGCTCTCCCCTGCTCACTCCCCGCCCCCATGCCTGTCCTACCTGGGGCAGGTGGTGCTCCCCCCGTGCGCAGGCCCAGTGGGCCAGTGGTGCTCGGCACAGGGGGCAGAGGCTGTGGCAGGGGCAGGAGCAGAGGGGTGGCAGGGCCTGCAAGAGGGCATGTCAGAAGTTTCGCGCCGGTCCTGTTCCTCCCCCCTCCCAGCCGGGCAGAGACTCACGTGGCATGGCGGAGCCGGCGCCATCACACAGGGACACTGTGGGGCTGGGCCGGGGTGGGGCTGGTGATCGGAGCAGGCACAGAGGAGGCGCCTGGGGAGAACAGCGGGGTCTATGCCTACAGCCCGCAAACCAACACCAGGCTGGCTGCCACGTCCCCCCTTTTAACACACACTCAGGGAGCACTTACTCCATGCCAGGTACCGTTCTCCAGGCTTTACATACGAGCTCATTCAATCCTAACTTTACAACCACCCTATAAAGTAGGCACTGTATTACCCCCATTTTATAGAAGAGGAAGCCCAGGCAGGCAGAGGTAAAATGACTCCCCCAAGGTCACACAGCTAGTAGGTGGCAGAGCTGAAATTCGAACCCAGGGGGTCTGGGTCCAGACTCTTGCCCATTTCACTGAGCCACCCTTTCCCATCTGCCCTCTGTCCCAAGGCCTGTCTCCGGGCTGGCAGCCATGCTCACCGCTCCAGCTCCTGCACCTGCTGGGCCAGGATGCGCTGCTCATCCCGGGCCCGGTCCCGGCTACTCTGCAGCTGGCTGTTTTCTTTCCTGGAAAGAGCGGGCCCCAGGAAGGTGACGGGAGGCAGAGCTACCAGGAGGGGTATCAGTTAGCTCTCCTCTTTGCGGGGAGAGTATGAGCCCCAGGAGGCAAGGGGGGACAGCAGGGTAGCGTGGATGAGGGAGTAGTGCAGCTTGGCAGAGCAGCCCACAGGGGAGGGGTGGGGCACAGTCCCCCTGGCTGAGGCGGGCCCTACCTAAGCCTCTCATTCTCCAGCATGAACTCCTGTAGCATCCCATAGAGGTTCCGCTGGGCCCAGGCCACCCGTGCCCCACTGAGCCTTGAGGCTGCAGGGAAGGGGAAGATGGCTGGATCCACAGGAGCCCCAGGCCCTATCCTCACCCCACCCCTGCCTCCAGGCAGCTCATACCCTTGGGGTCTATTTGCCCCAGTTGGGACCGCAGGCAACGGTTCTCCTCCTGGAGCTGCAATATCTCAATCTCCAAACGCTGGGGTTGCTTAGGCGACTGCAGAGAAAGAGGCCCAGAGCTGCTGCTTATGGCTGTACAAGTTGTGCACTGCACAAGGGCTTCCGGGGGTGGCTGAGTAGAGCCTAAACCCTAGCCCACGCTTCACTGGCCAGCCTCGCATCCTGGCACAAGGCTACATCCGCCTGGAGGAGGCACCTTGTCCTATTGCTATCAAAGCTGTATGCCTGGAGGGCCTACTCTAAGCTAGACCTGCTCCAAGTCCGACCTTAAACTCAGTTCTGTTCAAACCCTGGCCCAGATTCTGACCCCAAACAAGACACTACGTCAGATCCCAACTCAACTCAGACTTAATCATGGTACCAACTGGGACCCTGGCTATCCCCCGAATCATATCCCAAATCGGACTGGACCCCCAGACATGCCCTAACCCTGACCATGACCCTGACCCCACCCTACCCAATCATGACCCCATCACCAGGATTCTGACTCTAATCCCAACTCTGACTCAGTCCCAGACTTCTCATGACACCAACTCAGGCTCCAGCTACTGCCTGATCCCCAGCTATCTCCTCTGCCTGTGTCTCCCTCCATTCACCTTGGGGGCCTGTGGCCGAGTGGTGACGCGCTGGGCTCGGCTTGCATATCGCAGGGTGCTGAGAGTCTCAGGAAGGCACTGGGCTGAAGGGGACACGCAGGCCACCTGGGGAGGACTGCCCCTGAGTGTTCCTCTCCGGGACCGCCTCCCTCGGGAGCCATTCCTCCCTGCCAGCCCCTCTTGGGTACCATGAGGGTGACCCCGCGTCCCCCCAGCGAGTCTGCCAGCAGCTTGGTGAGCTTGCTGTCCCGGAAGGGGATGTGGCTCTGCTTCCTCTGTGGGTCCAGCAACAGGGAGATGCAGTGACCTGGGTGGGACAACAAGGCCACCCAGCTGGTACATGCAGAGCTGGGATCTCCACCCAGGCCCGTGTGACTCAAAGATCTGTCTTTCTACAAGATCTCGTTACTCGGTCAGACCGGTCTCTGCCACTCGACTGGGGCTCCTGAGGGCAGAGATGGCCCTGTCAGACCACCCCTGAACCTCGCACTCAGCAGGGGCTCAGGAAATGAAGAAGAGTTCCCTGAAAACCTCCCCGTGTGGGGAGAGGAAGGGACCATCAAGGCCCAGTGACCTGGGGTGGGGGTGGGAAGAAGGTCACTTCCCTTCTCTTCATGGGGCCGCAGTATTCCCAAGGGCACATGGGACAGGCTGAATGTCTGAGGGCTCAGCCTCTGCACTTGAGTGTTTCTACCTCTCAAATGAACATGTACCTTTATAAACCCTCAGCGTTTATAGACCCATAAAGTTCTAAGAGGGGAGGTACCAGTCAATAGCATGGTGAGACCAGGAGGAGGCGGGTGGCTCCTGGGTCACAGCTCTTGACTCCCCACACTACATCTCCTCTGGTTTCCCCCACTGGGGACAGCTCTGGGCCAGGCTCAGGGGAGGGACATGGGAAGTCTGCCCAGCTGGCCCCACATCTCACCCAGGGCCAGCAGGCTGCGGTTGATGCTGTTCGCCTCAAGCATCAGCTCCCCACGGGATCCTGTGGCTGCCACCTTCTCACTGCCAGCCAGGTCTACAAAGCACAGCTTCCCCCCCATGGGGGGCTCCCCTGGAGGCACCTGTGGGACAGGGAGATCAGGGCTCGATGGGGACTCGGGAGGAGCCGTCCCCACCAAAGTCACAAAGCCAACGATTTCCACTATTACCTCCAGCGCATGCCCAAGTCGCTTTCTACATCCAGAGGCAGACCCCTGCTGGGTGGCCCTGGGCCAGCTCCTTCCCCACGTGGGGACACTCACAGTTTGGCGGCTGATGTAGAGTGTGAGCAGGGCATGGCTTCGGCTGGAGGCCTGGTTCAGGGTGTGAGCTGAGCTCCGTCGGCGGCTAAGACCTAGAGGGGGAAAATGGCAGGAGCTGGACCTGGTAGGAAAAGCATGTCGTCACCGATGAAGAAAAAGAAGCAAGGGCATTCTGGGAGAGGGGCCAGCCTGTGCAAAGGCACAGAGGCAGGAAAGGGGAATGAGGGGCTGCTGGGTCTGCCTCTAGCACGGACATGTGTAAGGAAGATGAAGAGTACTGAGCAAAGGAACGTCCGCTGAATTCACATTTTGTGGACATCTCTCCCGTTGCCTTGTGGGGAGAGGGGGAGAGGGAGAGGGAGAGAGGGAGGGAGAGGGAGGGGGAGGGGGGGGGAGAGGGACAGACACTCAGACAGAAAGCTCAGCTCTGGGCACAACTTTGGGGCCAGAACCCAGAGTCCCAGTGTCCCCAATGCCTGCTACAGGGTGGGTGCTCAATAAATATTTGATGAATGAATGAGGCTGGAAGAGAAAGAGGGCACATGCTAGCCTAAGAGGTATGACCTTTACCTTTAAGAAACTGGAAGGGTCTGGGGGTCTGGAGAGGAAGACGGATGTGGTTGCTGCATGTAGGGGAACAGACTGGAAGGGGAGAACCTTGAGGTGCAGAGACCTCCTCAGGGGGCAAAGATGGGGCCTGACCAAGGCAGAGGCCCTGGGCTGGAGAGACCATGACCCTGACCCCACTCTACTCAATCATGACCCCATCATCAGGATTCCAAGAGTTTGGATAGCAGAATCTGCAAGCCTGGTGTGGGGTGGGGTGAACATCTCTGGGCTGTGTCTGAATTGTTGGTTTGCTGGCCCTTTTCTCCCACACGGATCATCACAATCCACAGCTCCAGCCAGGGGCTTGGGGTGCAGTCAGTGAACAGCTGAGGAATGGGCATCCCCATACCCCAAAGCACCCCTGAAGTAGCACACACCCATTTGCAGAAGTTCCATCAGGGACCCCAGACTCCCAAACTCCACCACCCGCAGCTGCTCCACATAGAAGCCCCGGGTCTTGCTCCAGCGAACAGGGAGGGGCCGGGGAGATCCCACGCTCAGAAGGTCTCGAACCTGAGATAAGGGTGGTAGGTGAGGGAAGGGGCCCTGAGTCCACGTTCCATCCACCCCCAGCCCTTACCGACAACAGTCCCCCAGCCTCTTCTGTCCCTTGACCCATGCTCCTTGGAGAGAAATGCCTCCTTTTCCTGAGGGCTGTCTATTCATCTCAGTCCCAAACCTGCTCATTGTAGATCTCCAAATAGGAGGCACGGAGGGTAACAGGCGCGCTCAGGTGCTGCACCCGGTCTAACAGCCAGGCGAAGGTCCTCTGCATGATGCCAGCTAGGTTGTGGGGTACGGGCACACCCTCGCCCTGGGGGCACAAACAGCTGAGCCAGGGACTGGATCATGATCAAGCACAAAGTAGCAGTCATAACTACCCTTTGTAGAGGACTGCCCTAGTATGCGCCAGGAACTGTGCCAAGTTCCCGTAGAACATCGCCGGCAATCCTCGGTCAGAACTCTCACTTCCGTTTACAGATGAAAAAACCGAGAGCTACTAAGTAAAGCGGATAAAAGTGGCTCCATATTGGGCAGGCGCCGTCCCCTCTCCGGTCGTCAGTTTCGCTGTCCGCAAATAAACGGGGCTGGGCGGCACGCAGGCCCTTCACCCTGGAAGTGTGTGCCACCCGCGGCTCCCCAAGGCTTCGAGGCTCCCGTTCCCTCCCCGCTCCACCTGCGCTCGGCCCACCTGCGGAGGAGGCCCGGTCAGGGTGTAGGTCTTCCCGGAGCCGGTCTGGCCGAAGGTGAAGACAGTGCAGGAGAAGCTGCGGGCGGCAGGGGCGCGGCTGAACCCAGGCGGCGGCCTGCTGGGGCGGCGGGGGTAGGCTGAGGGCCGGGGGGGGGGGGGGGTCCCGGGGGGGGGGGGGCCAGGGGGGGGGCGCCCCCCGGCGGGGGGGGGCCCGGGCGGGGGGGGGGGGAGGGGGGGGCGGGGGACAAAGTTGCCCGGGGGGAGGGGGGGGGGGGGCCTTCAGGTAGGTTTGGGGGGGGGGGCGTGGGAGGGGGAGAGGGGTTCCTCACTTGCAGAGTCCGGGTTCCCGAGCAGTGCAGCGCGCTCTGTTCCCCTCGACGCAACTCGGCGGCGCTCATGGGACGCACCCTGGGGCCCGTTGGGAAGGCGGATAGTCCATCCCGTTGTCGCTGCCAGTCCTGTCCTCCCTCGTCCCCCTCACCCCCCAACCAACCTATAGCTACCTGAGCACCACCTGGATGGGCGTTTCTGGCCCCTCCGGCCCCTGCTCCAGGCTCCGCGCGGGGTCCCTGTGGCAGCAACGGGAGTTACCATCCCTGAGCCCAGAGGCTCCTCGAACCTCCCAGAATCTCTGCTTACCCGTCGGGAGACCCGCGTTCCTCCATGTCCTGCTTTGCACACGGAGTGAGCTCCGCCCGAGTCTCGTTCCTTTCTCTCCCCACTACCCTCCCTTTTCCACCACACTGGGACTGGCTATACACACCTTACATCCCCCACCCTCTTTCCCCGTTCTCAGGCAGCCATCCATCCGGAAAGGCTCCAGCCTCCCCAGCGCTAGCTAGTTAAAGATTTACCCACCCCCACCTCTTCTGGAGAAAGTCTCCAGCAAAGGGACCCCTAGCTAGGGGGTTCTGGAGTCTGAGGATCCCTTGCTCTTGTCCATTCCTATCAGGAGGGACCACCCAGACCAGCCTCTCCTGTACACAGATGGGAATAGGGAGGCAGGGGTAGGAAGGGCTCAACCAGGGCCATACAGCAAGCCTGGGCAGAGCATGGACCAGGCCCTTCCTACTCCTCACCTACACCTCCTCCAGCTTAGTAATCTTCCTCCCTCCCTTCCCCACCCTGGCAGCTCCAGCTACTTGGCACCCCAGGGCCCAGGAAGGGGGAGGCGCCTAAAGGAGTGAGAGGGGCCCAGGTTTCAGCTCTCAGAAGGTCTGGCTGGATTGAGTTCCTGAGCCCAGCTGACAAAAGGTCCAGGAAGACTCTGGTTAAACACTGGGCCACCTGCCTCTCCAATGCCAAGGCTGATCTAAGGCCAGGGCAGTTGTTTAACCCTTTCCTGGTCTGGCTGTCAGGAGCAGCAGAGCTATCTGCGCTGGTGCTGGGGTGGGGCAATCACCCATTCGGGGACAGTCTCCATGCTGGGCACCAGGGCAAAGGAATCCGGTAGTCTTGGTTTGGGACGCCAGTAAGAACAGCCTAGTGTGCAGGGATTTGGGCAGAGGGTAGTTCAGAGCCCTGTAGGAGCAGGGAGGTGAGGATGGTAGGTGAGGGTGTTCTTGGCAGAGGGAACACCTTGCAGGAAGGCTGGGTGGGGTGGGGAAATGTGTGAGACATGTAGAGGTGGTTTGAGACTGGACCAAGCTCATGGAGGGCACGTGAAGGAGTCTGTCTGGACTCCCTCTTCAGGGCACCCGGAAGCCATTGAAGGGTTACAAACAGGGAAGTGACGCTATCAGATAGGTATTGCTATTACTATTGCCACGCTGGCTGTCTCTGTATATTCTCTGAATATTTCCGTAAACTCCTCCTCTCCCTGACACACATTAGGATGAAAACCTTAATGATTGCCCCCCCCGCCGCTTCAGTGCAGCGTGCTCTCTACCACCACAAATGATAGCCAACTATCGAAGCCACCCAACTAGGGACCGGTTTAACTTGGGTGGATGTGAGCTCCCCATGCACTGGAGGAGTACAAGCAAGAGCCGGTTAACCTTTTGGTCATAGGGCCTTCTAGCTGGATCTATAGGGAGAGTTAGGTAGAGCAAAGAGCCACTGCCCCCAGGCCTGCCACTTGGGCAAATCATTCCCCCTTTCTTAACCTGTTTCCTTCCTATGAAAAGAGATGAATGATGTCACCTAGTTGTCCTGAGCTTTCGATGAGACCGTGTAATTGAGAGGGATTCATGAGTTGTAAAGAATTATCTAAGAGCAAAAATAAAAGTCCCTAGATGATCTCCAAGATTTCTTTCAACTGTGAAGGTCCTTAATCTGTTACATTTTTTTTTTTAAATCCTTGAGGTGGAGAGGACAAGAATTACTATTCCTGTTTTGCAGATGAAAAAAAATGGAAGAAAAGAGAGGCGGACAGGGGAGGTTGTCTGAAGGGAAAGCAGCCGTGAGTGGCGGAACCGAATAAAACCCGGAGATATGAATGGCTGATGGTCTGGGTGCTGTCGGTGATGGCAGCCTGCCTCTTTCATTTGTAGACCCAGCAAGAGAGCAGGTTGCTCCTTTAAATGTCCCTAAAAGGGTTGAGGACTCATGCGCATCTTTGTGTGCTTTGGTTTAACCGAACTGCTGTCCCTCTTCAAACTGGACCGAGATGAAGGGTTTTTGAGAAAAATGCCAAGACAAGGGATATGTGGGTGATGGGGTGTGATGGGCTGTTTGGCATGACTTTGACAACCTGGGTCAGAACGTGTGCTTGGCTGGATGTCTGCAAGCGAGAGCAAAGTTCTGGTTCTGTTCTCTAATAGCGAGTAAGAACATCTGCTCCTCTTAATTTGTGAATTCTTTCAGCAGAGTTTTTTATGAAGCCTCCTCTATGTGCCAGGCTTCCAGGCACGTGAGAGCTGCATGAGTGAACAAAACAGACAGTACTAAGTGTATTGTGGGGATGTGGAGCATCTGGAACCCCCACACATGGCAGGTGGCAGTGTAAAGACAACCGCGTTCTGAAAACTATTTGGCTTTATCTAGTAAAGCTAAACATGTGCCTATTCCATGATCCAGAAGTCCCCCTTCCTAGGTGTGTGCCTGAGAGAGCTGAATGTATGCGTCAAGGAGGGACAAGGAAATTCAGCCATATTAGCCACCACCTCTCTCCCCACTACCACTGCCCCTACTTCCAACCTTGTCCTCGTTACCATCACTGTAATCCCATCACCACCGTCACCCCAATTCTACTATCACCACCAGTAGCTACAGAACTAGCAGTCCCTGCCCCCCTCCCCCGCCGCCATACTGCCATCGTCATGACTGACCATCGCGATAGTGATAGGAGTCAACACCATCTCTATTCATTGGAGAAAGTTAAAGGGCACAACCCCTGGACCCCCGCCCACAGCGGGGGCTGAGTCCCTCTGTGTCTTCCTCCCCTCCTCCCCCTGTCCTGGGCCTGTCCTCTATCCCCCAACTGCACCCGTGCCCCGGCAGGAGTGGGACCCCCGTGGCCCCGGGAGGGGCAGAGGGAAGCAGGTCGCCGGGAGGAAACTCATAGAGTATTTGAGAAGCTGGCGGACCCCGCAGGGGTGCATCTCCAGACCTCACTAGGGGGCAGCAGAGCACTGTGCCACCACGGCCCGAGGGCTTGTCACAGAGGAGTTTTGTCAAGCGAGGCCAGGCTCTTTGCATACGTTTCCCCCTAGCCTGCGCCCTGTGGAGGGGCTAGCCAGCCTGGTGCTATGGAGAGGGGTGAGCAGGCCCTCAAGAAGCGCTTCCTGGGGGAGTGAATAAAAGCCATGTTGAACCATCAGGGACTCTCCTCCACACACCCCTGCTCCCACTTCAGCCTTAGACATCCCCCTCGAGAAAGCCCTACCCTGACTCCCTAAGGGCCTCAGAATAAAGTCTGAGCTACCTAGGCTGGGACTTAAGGCCATTCGGGCTCTATCTCTTATTGACCCCTCTGTCTGTCCCTCTCCTCTACCCCCCACCCTCCACCCCTGCGTCCTATACTGCCGCCCAAAGCTTCCCTGGGCTTCCCTTTGACTCCTCTAAGCCTTTGCCCCTGCTGTTCCCTCTGCCAGGAATGCTCACTTCCACCTGGTGGGCTTGTCCTGCAAGCTGTATCATAGAAAGCCTTCCCCGGGCCCCTACCCCCCAGGTCAGCCTGGAGTCACGCTGTCCCCACAGCCTCCTGGGCTTCCCTCTGTTACAGGACTGATCACATTGGATTATGCCTCCTGTCTTTTGGGGGGGGGCAGGGACTATGTCAGCTTCATCCCTGTGATCTCTGAGCCAGCACAGGGCCCTGCACACAGTAGGAGCTCAGCAAATGTTGGTGGAAGGAAGGGAAGGAGCCGGGAAGGAGGAAGGGAGGCTGGTGGGCAGGCTGCTGGGTGCATCCCTGCATCCCTCCCTAAGCTCCATCTCTCCCTTCCTCACAAGGCTAACCACAAACACTCAACTTTATGATGTAAGGATTCATTTAGGGCTCATTTATCATGGAGATCATCAGCTCCTGCCACAAAGCTGCTCTCAGATGTGCCCAGAAGCTGGGTGACATTCTTTCAGCTCCAAGGCCAGCCAAGCTGGCCTCTCGGACCCAACCATCTGCTACAAATTTAAAATTCCCAGAGGGTGGGGGACAGGCTCCGCCGGGCCCCTGGAAACCCAAGTGTCAACGCCCTCTGCTCTGTCCAACACATTTTTCATGGAGGGCTCGTCCCCATTTGTCAGGTGCAGAGACTGAGGCCCTGGTGGGAAGAGGCTGAGCCCAGTCTAGGGCTCACACCCTGCAGGACAGCCTCACACAGGATGGAGGTGGGACAGAGATGAGAAGAAGATGGTGAGGAAGAAAGTTCTCCTTTTATCGCATGACACTCATCTTTCATTGTTCCTCTTATAACACCCACCCCCCAGTGGAGGAAAAGCCAGATGGGTCCAAGGCTTGTTGTGAAATTTTCCAAACAGAGCTTGATGTAATCTTTAATTAAAACGTGAATGTGGGCTGTGGGACTCATTCCACAAAATTGTCCAAAGCAGGAACCTTAAGGGATTATTGCATTGAATTCTATTCTGGTCCCCTGCCCCATCTACAGATGGGAAAACTGAAGGGGGGGCGCCGGTACAGGTGTGGTGAGGAACAGTGATTTTAGATTGAGGTACAGAGAGTCATAGAAACACTACTGTCACCCCCAGGGCACCACTCTCTCCCCTTAAATACCTGCCTCCACTCCTCCGAAACCTCGCGTGGCTTCTCTCGCTGGGTATGGTGGGTATTGGCAGCCGTGCCCAGCTTCCCACTAGACAAGGAGTTTGGTGAGGGTAGGGGGCCCATCCCAATGCCCAGCACAAGGCCTGGCACAGAGACATACCCGCTAACTGTCTGATGAAGACATGAGGGTCCAGCAAGAGGAAATGAAGCATCCTGAAGCCAAGCTTTGTCTTTTGGTGAAGATGAGCCTCTAGGGATAGTTGTGAAATCCAAGGACCCAGGGTTGTTGAAATTCCCTGCTGTTTCCAGGATCTCGGCTCTTCTCCCTAAAAATGTAAACAGTTTGCCCTGAGTCAGCTTCAGCCAGGAATGACTTACATATGAGCTGGATGTTTTCATCTAAAAACAGTAATGTTGCTACGTAAGAGTGTGAAAGGGTGTTAAGTACCATCTGATGCACAATGATGCCTCATTGTGTCTGGAACCTTCTGGGTCAGAGGA